CCTCATTTCTTTATTGATCATACAGCCCCATGAATTCTGTTCCAGCAACACCAAGGTGAGTAAGAAGGTTTCTGCCAATGAGTGGGACTTGCCTTTGGCTTCACTGGTTTTTCTGTGTCTGAGCTATTGCTCTTTATCCGGTGGCCACAAAGCAGTCAGGATCTTGAATTATCTGCAGAAAAGTTGGGCTCACACCATCTTGCATCCCCCTGGCCACCATCTAGTCTGGGCTATTACAACTTCTGTAGGTACAGTGCTGGGGAGGGCAACCAACCATCCCCATGTGGTGAAGGCTGGGAGTTTCCAGGCTTCCCAGGCCTCAGTGCTAAATCAGAAATCCCCTGCAGACAGGAGGGAGGTATCACCCTCGTGTTGGGCACGGCGGAGAACAGGAGCCGAGAGAAGGGAGAGGAATAATCACAGCCAGCATTCATTCTGCTTAAGACATTTTTTCTCGGTGCTAGGGAATTTAAGAATTTAACATGGCAGCACACGCCTGTAATTCCAGCACTTGGGAGTTCAAGACCAACCTGGGCTACGCTGTGACACCCTGTCTCAAAAAAATTAAATAAAATTAACAAAGAATTTAATAATATTTGGAAGAAATTCAAGGGGTAAGTACTAGTAAACCGGGACCCAGAGAGGGTAACCCTGACAGAGTGTCCCCTCAGTAAATGGCAGGTTGAGGGCTGCCAGAGAGGAAATTTCTATTCCCACCCATTATTCTGCCCTGCCTTAGAGAGATCATGTGTAATTGTGGCACAAAGTCCCGAAGCTGTATTTAAAATTAACCCTCAGAAGGGCCGGGGATGTAGCTCAGTGGCGCTGTGCCTGCCTGGCAAACACAAGGTCCTGAGTTCGATCCCCGATACCAGAAAAAAAAAAAATTAACCCTCAGAGATCAGAGGCAAAAGTCAGCAAAAGCTGTGTTTCCCTGGTTACCCACTCTTCTCCAGCCAGGCTGGGTTCAAATGCAGCCACACTGGGATACCCACTCTCGGGTGAGGTGCGTTCCTGGGAAGAAGAGACCTCAGCAGCCATTTCCCAAGTCCCCTGCACACAATCCATCACCTGCCACTCTAGCGGTGGGAGCCTGCACAGAGCAGAGGAGGGGACGCGGAGCTCTTGGGGCTGCAGGGTTAAGAGCAGATTTAGGCGGCAGTTCCCTCCTCCCACCAGGGGCTGTGCGGCCCAGGGCAAGCGACCCAACCTTGAAGCTTGGTGTCATTGTTACGTGATGAAGCAGTGACGGGCTCGGTGGCTGCTGTGAAGATGGGAACTTATGGGATAACGCATGAAAACCACAGTGCCAGCCTGAGAAGGCAACAGAGGAAAGCTCACCGGTTGCCATGCCCATCTGCCTGCCTGTGACTTCAAGTGACAATGATCCCCTTGAGGACAACTCGAAGGAGCAGACAAGGTGGCAGCTTTGTGTCCCCAGCCCCTTACCGGCCAGCGTGGCCTGCCCCGCCTCTACTCTGTTCCACCATCCATCCCACTGCAGACTCTCTGGTGTTCCTGGCCACTTTTGGGGCACTGGGAAGAGATGGCCAAACTTGGTTCCTCCTGCTCCTGGCCCAGTCCCCAGAACCCCAACCCAGGCTCCAGGACCACCGCCTGAAGGGTGAGCAGACTGTCCTGTGGAGAGTGCGACCCAGCTCCCGCATGGCCCCCGCTCTCAGAGAAGAGAGGAGAAGGGAGCAAATGAGGCTTCATGATCCTTTTGATGAATTAGGAGTGTCAGAAAGCCTGTGACTTAATGGACATAATGTGGCCTGCATTGCTGAGCATTCCATCAAGCTGTGGTTTCAGTGACCCGTGGGGGGTGCTTCAAAGGCCCAGGAGAGAGGCCAGGGACAGGTGAGAGGGAGCAGCCTTCGTGCAGGGACCCGGGTGACATGGATGCTGACAGGAAGCCTGTGGGCATCCAGCAAGGAGCCTTGGAGAAGCAGGTCTCTTAGCAGGAACTCTGTGCTGCAGTCACGTATGTGCACCTCCTGAGGACCTGCACTCACTGATCCACACTTGCATGTGTAGTCTTCAGTCTCTTCCATGACTGACCTTAAATCATTCAGTGATAGTTTTCAGGCCCTCTAAGTCTGGGCTGAGCACCGTTAACACGACTATGTGGGGCAAGAGAGCTGGGAGCTGGTGTTATGCCCGCGACTCTGTGCCACGTGAGTACTGACCTGTGAATGCGCCTCTCAGCTTGCTCTTCTCAGTATCCTGTGAGGTTGGCACCACCACCAGCATCACCCCCAATTTAAGTTTGTCAACTTGATTGGCTTTAGAGTCACCCAGGAGACTAATGAGCACACTTCTGGATGAGACTGTGTGGTCATGAGGTCTGTACTGCTCCCTGGCCCCTTCCTCACTGGCACTGTTCCCCTGCTCTGCTTCCCAGCCCCCCTGAACTAAGCATCTTTGCTCCATGACACACTTCCACCTTCTGTGTCTGCCTTGGAGCCAGCTGACCAGGGACTAGATCCTCCAAAACCATGAGGCAAATTAAATCTCCCCTGTTTTAAGTTGTAAGTGTCAGGTATTGTGTCCTAGTGACCAGAAAGCTCTAAGTACACCTGTTTACAGATGAAAAAACTGAAGTTTAGACAGGTGGATATCTGATCAGTAGGAGAGCAAATGTCAGATGGCAGACTGAGCGAGTATAGTCCTTCCCCCAGTGGCTGCCACGGAAACCTAAGACCCTGGTCTGTGAAGTGGCAGGGATCTGCTGAGTTAATGTGCAGCTGAGGTCAGCTTGGCCCCAATTAAAATCCTTTCCCCTGAATTATGGCTTCTCACTGGGTTGCTGGTTAATTGTGACCCTGTCCCAGTACCCTTTGTTCTCTCCAAGCAAGATAAGCAGTGCCTCCTCCTGTTTACAGCCCTGCTTGCATATCCACTGTCACCAGATGCTCTGCATTCCATCACTAGATGTCTTGAAAGCTCACCTTCTTCCCACATTTGTAATCAGTAAATACTGGGTGTCCTGAACTCGGTCCTTACGGTTTCGAGGCAGGCAGCAGAACCACTGAGCTAAGTCCCCGGCTCCATCTTCCTTTGTTCTTGTTAGCTGGCATTGTATTGCCTCATAGGAGACCAAGACTCCTGGCCAGGGTTCTCAATAATGTTCCCTGTACACAATTAGGAAATACCTTAGCCAGGTGTGGTGGTGCACACCTGTATTCCCAGCACTCAGGAGGCTGAGGCAGGAAGATCCGAAGTTCAAGGTCAGCCTGGGCTACAGAGCAAGTTCAAGGCTGGCCTGGACAGCAAGACCAGAAGGAGTGGAGTGAGGGGAGAGAGAGAGAGAGTATGAATGAATCCTGATTGTGCCAGAGCCATTCCTAAGAATGGCTCCAAGATCCTGAAGATATTCTCTTGTATTATCTTCTAAAAGTTTCAAGTTTGGGGCTGGGGATTTAGCTCAGTGGTGCCATGCCTGCCTCACAAGCATTAAGGTCCTGAGTTTGATCCCCGGTACCAAAAAAAAAAACAACTATCAAACTAAAAGTTTAATGTTTTGCCTTTTAAATTTCAGTCTTTAATCCATCTTGAATTGGCTTTTTTGGGGAGAGGGGGTGAGAGAATCATTAATTCTTTTTCCCTGTGAGTACTCAGTTGTTCTAGCACATTCTATGAATCGTGCCTCTTTTCCCCAGTGACCTCAAACATGGTCTCTGTGATAAATTGTTTCTCTTGCACATCAAGTCTGTTTCTGGGATGTGTTTTGTGTCTCACTGATATTTTTATCTGTCTCTCCATGAGCACCACATGATCTTACCATACTTTTGTGATAAGTCTTGATGTCTTTAACATTTTTTTCTTTAAAATGAAACTGGGAATTTTAAGTCAAACACACAGGATATTGCAGAGATCCCAAAAGCTGTAATGCGTCAGTAGCTAGAACCACACCTTACCAAAGGATGGAGCAGGTGATCAGCACAACTCTCTTTTTAAAATTTTTTTATTATTATTAGTTTTTTTTTCTTGGTACCGGGGATCAAACTTGGGACCTTTCCCTTGCAAGGCAGGCGCTGGAACCACTGAGCTAAATCCCCGGCCCTTAAGCACAACTTTCTAACCCTGAGTCTTACATGATCACAAAGAGAGTATTTCAGAGGCTTGTCCTTCTGTCTGAATAAGGAACTAGAATGCAGATTCATTTCTGCTTGCTTTTTTTATCCTTCTAGTCTGTGTTGGTTACTTTTCTCTCCTTGCTGAGACAAAATACCCAACACTCAAAGTTAAAGGGGAAAGGTTTTTTGGCACACAGTTGGTAGAGGTTTCAATCCATAATCGGCTGGCCCCAAGGCAGGGTGGCACATGGCAGAGGGACAATAGTGCATGGGGGACCAAAGGTAGCCAAGCAGCAAGCGGACTTAACAGCGTCTCCCTGCCCCTTTTATCTTATCCAGGCTACTTAGGGCGGGTAGCACTCACAGCCTTAATCCTAGTGCCCTTGAGCCTAGCGTGCATCATTAATCAATTCCAGTGTCTCACATTCTAGATCCAGTCACCTCTTCTAAAGCCCCACCTATGACCGTATGAGGCTCTGGGGGGATATCTAGACACAGCCACAACACAGTCCTTTCTGCTGGTCCCAAACTTGTCAAGCACATGTCGGCAGGTGTTCAGGAGCTCTCTCAGGTCTCTCTGAAGTGGCTCAATAGCTAGACGAGCACTTGAGTCCCAATGTACAAAGTGATTTTGCTCTCTGAAGGCTGGGCCGTTCCACTTTTGGGTTCTTCATAGTCATGTGCCACTGAGAATTTCCTAGGACGGTCCTCATGCAATAAAAATGTCACACAGCATCTGCCCCTCCAGCTGGCTGCACCACTTCCAGGGCTGGCTTCCTGTCACCTTCTGCCATGGATGTCTTCAATCCAGGTATTTGTCTGCTACTTTTCCATCACGGAACAGTTTCTGGATCCTCAGCCAGTGACGGGAGAACAGAGCCTGTGCCCCATAGGGAAAATGAAACTTTTCATTGGGAATGGTTTTTCCTAGCCCTTTGCTGTTGTATGAATCTGAGAATAAGCTTTTTATCTTTCTTGAAAAGCTCTGTTGAAATTTTGATTGCAGTTGTCCTGTTTTTAATTTCAAAGCAAAGATTCTAACTTTTCATTCCTGCACAAATTTGTTATAGGTTTTTCGTAGATGCTTTTCAACTGGTTAAGGGAGCTTTCTGTTCTTAGTTTACTTTGAGTTATTGCCATGAAGGGTTGTTGAATTGTATAAAATATTATTTTGAAACTACTAAGACATTATAGTTCTTTAATATGTTGATGTGGCCACTCTAGGGATAAACATTTTCTAACACCACTGTCCTGGCATTCTGGGATAAACCCATTACCTGCCATGGTTACAATGTGGTTACAATGTATCATGCTTAGATCTGTGGCCTGCTGACATACTAATATTTTATTTCCTCTTTTTACAGTTACGTTCTGACTGACTTCTGAGTGATAACGATGCAGTCTTGTATTGGTGTCAGCTGACATCACACAGCGAGTTGGCCCACGTTCTCACTCTTCCCATTTTCCAGAAGCGCTGTAAGAGAAGGAATGATTAAATCCATGAAAGTGTAGCAGCACTTACTTCTTGACCATTTGGGCTTGAAGATTTTCCTCTGGTTTAAATTTTCTCAACCTCTTTAATAATTCTAGACTTGTTTTCTTTTATTTAAAACTAACATTTTCCTGGGGAATTGAACTCTCTACTATTACCTAGCAATCCTTTCCATCCTTACTAAGGTTTTCTGTTAGTCTGTGTTACTAGAATTAATGCAGCTACACTGGCTTTCTTTGGCAGTATTCGTCCAGTTATCATTTTGGACACTGCTAATCTTTCTAAATTCCCATGTTTCAGGAGTGCCTCTTGCAATGAGCACATGAAGAAGGAATGAAGTGAAAAGAGTGAAGAACTTGGTGAGTATACTAAAACTAAGCAAGTTGTCAGTCCAAAAATGACAATGACAAGGGTAACACAATTGGGAGGTCTGAAGCAGGGGGAAAATTAAAATACGAAGTAGTAATAAATTAGAAAGCAGGTGACTGAAGTATTCCAGTTCCCTTGCAGCAGTGCAGGAGGGGAATGAAGATATGTCCTCTGTTACACAGGGGTGGGCAGATTGAGTCCTGCTTTTGGTACCAGGGATCGAACTCAGGACCTTGCCCTTGCAAGGCAGGCGGCTGAACCACTGAGCTACATCCTCGGCTGAGTCCTGCTTTTGAACTTTAGGTAGGTAGCGAGCTCAGCTGGTATCTGCTCTCTTCTGTTATGTTCCAGAAAGCTCATATGTGGTGAGTAATGAGCTGTGAGGATCCTGCGTGCTTCCTTCCCGAGTGTCCTCTGTACATGCGCGTGGAGTACAGGAATGCTACCCACTGGGGGCTAACATAGGCTGTTCCTGGGTCCTGGCTAAATGTGGGGCTGTCAGGCTCAGCTCCTCCAAGGGACGACTGGAGCTTTTGTCTCCAGTACGTATTGCCTGTGAGTGTGACACACACATTCGGCCTTAGGACGACTCTGCATTCACATACATGTATTTTTTTCTCATGGCCCCTTCCTCCCATTTGGACACACCCGACCAGACCTATTTTATCCAGGGTGGAGGTGTTTTGAGAAGGGTGCATCTGATCGATTTGCTGAGATAAATTTGAATTTTAAAGGCTTGTTGGTGAGGCTGTTAAATGTCACCCTCATATTTTTGGCATATTCCAAATTATTGAAATAATTTTGAATTCCAGGTTTCTTCCCATTTTGCTAGATTTAAAATTTGATGAGGAGCGGGCAGTGTGACACAGTGGTAGAGCATAAGACCCTAAGTACAATCCCCAGCACCATAAAAAATAAATACAGAAAATAAAGACTTAATGAGAAGCCTAGCTTTATATTCATCTAAGTCTTTTTTTTTTTTTAATTTAAAGGACAGAAAATTGGAGCATCCATTAGAAAATTGCTTCCACCCTGATATTATCAGATTAAATAAAATTGGGTTACTGCTACTTAACCTCCCATGAATGCACTGAACTATGATATTTAGCAGTCTAGATTTCATCCTGTCCATAAACAGATCCTAAAATGCTTTGTCTAAAGCCTATTGCAAACAGGTTTTGTGTATAATATCCTCCGACAGCCTCCATATCTATTTATGTTAGTATCTGTGATAAAGTATGCTACAAGTTTGTTACAGTCATTCATGGTGAACCCATGCCACAGTTGTGGGGCTGACACCAGCTCCACCCACATATTTTTTCCTCTCTCTCTCTGTCTCTTTTTCCTGAGTCAGGGTCTCCCTATGTAGTTCAGGTGAGCTTTGAACTCAACTTTGTAGCCCAAGATGGCCTTGAATTCATGAGGATTGTCCCACCTCAGCCTCCCATGTGCTGGGATTATAGGCATGTGTCACCATGCCCTGTTGACCTTTTTTCTTTTAATTCAATAATTAACACTATATCTCTTGGTTTCTAGATTTGTCTATGAGTCTTCCTCCCTATTTGAAATGGGACCTTCAGTCATGAAAATCTTCTAGGATAAATTCTTAAACATCACTGAATATGTTTCTGAGATCGTAGGTAAATATCCTTTTGGTACCCCGAGCTATAACTCCCTGTGATCTGGTCATTGGAACTAATTTAAATCACCAAGGGCTCTTTCCCTAGTTTTCTTTCTGAGCTCAGTCTCTCTCTGTGATGTTCTACCCTGACAAACAGGAGTCCCTTCTGCATAATGCAGTAAAATAGGAAGCTGCTGGTCTGCCATCTGTTAACATTCCATATGCTCAGTTCCTTTCTTATTCATCTTCTTGATCCAAATCTGTGTTTAAATTGACCTGTTTTTGTCTTCAGCATTTGAGTAGCAACCATCCTTGGTTTTAGTCTATGCAGATTAAGCTGGGTGTGGTGACACATGCATGTTATCCCAGCATTTATGGAGGCTGAGGCAGGAGGATTGCAAGTTTGAGTCCCACTTAGGAAATTTAGCAACACTCTGTCTCAAAATTTTTAAAAAGGTTTTTTTAAAGAGGTAGCGTGGGGCTGTAGCTCATTGGTAGAGCTTTCCTGGGCTGTATCCCCAGTATCACAGAGGGGAAAAAGTCCAGGTTAATCTGGAAAATTTCCCTCGCCCTCCAACTTTCAATAAGGTTCTTGGAAGATTAGAGCTTATCAGAGCAGTCACTCAAGTCTCTTCCTCAGAGTTCTCCTTGTTCTTCCCAAGCAGGACACTCACTGGCCTAGTGTTGGTCAACTGGAATTTTCAATGAAGGAATCAATACCGTAAGGGTGAAAGTTACCATGTCCTAATCATTCAGTCTTCTGTGATCCTGTACTGCACTGTGACTTGTCTACTCGTGTTGTGACTGACAAATTCTTACTGCTTTACAGGGAGGTTACAAAACTCCCTGCTGATGCTGGGCTGAGACCTGTCAGCAGATAAGGAGTTTCTGTCTGGTGACTAAAGATGCCACCGGGAAAGGGGGGACTCCTGGGCCACCCACCTGTCCCTGACTCCGCAGGGACAGGGCTCCGGGACACTGCTGACGGGTGGGGGCTGGAGGTGAGGTCCTGCATGTCCCCATCCCCCCTCCTTGGCTTTCCTGTAAAACTGGGGGTAATTAAGCTGCTCATAAGCCATTAGGTGAAGAGTCACGCAGGGTGTGACTCACCCCTGGGCTTCAACTAGGTATCGAAATAATAAAGCTGTAAGAGGAGATAATCTGGATATAGAGACTCCAGCTCCTTGGAAGTACAGGGACCACAGGCAATGAGTTAAGAGAAAGGATGAACTATCCATTTTTAATGTCCTTTTATTTTCCTTGTCTTTTCTTTTGGTTTTGGAAACAAACACAGACCCTCACATAAGCTAAGCATGTGGCCTGCCACTGGGCTATGCCCTTACCCCCATTTTTAAGGCTTTGAAGGGAGAAAATGAAAAACCCTAAAAGCTGCCAGTTTTCAACACAGGTGAAGTCTGTGGATAGCTTCCAGGCTGGGATTGCAGCGCCATGGGAGGCTGGCAGGGATGAAGGCAGCTGAGTTTTCTTGCCTGCTGCCCCTCTGGGCTGCCCCAGGGATGTTGGTGGAAGCAGCTTGGAAAGGTGTCAGCTTGGCAGTGAGGAGAGAGAAAGCTGGTGAGGGAGGACTAAGCAGCACGGCCTCTTCTGAGTAAACTGTCACCAGAACTGTGGGAACAGTTCCCTGATGTGACTCCGATGCAGCCTTGAAGTCTGAGTGATGAGGTGGCCACCAGCTTGGAAGACGCTGCTGCAGCCCCAGGAGACTGGCCCCAGCCTTGGACAAGATCCAGCAGCCCTGCCAGAGATGGCTTTACAGGAGTGTTTGAAGTGGCCTTAGTTACCTTCCTTCTGGGTCTCCAGGCTTCCTGTCCACGTCCCATTCACAAAGCCCAGGACTGGGCCAATTCCACCAGGGTGCCTGGGCCCAGAGAGCGGGTTGTCATGGCCGAGGTGCCTTTGCAGTATTTTGCAGTGGTGAGAGTCCACCTGAGCAGTGGTCCTGCGTCTGCAGTGGGAGGCCTCAGGTGCTGCAGCACAGGCCCCCGGGTCTGCGCACTACACAGAGCTCCACACAGCACACCACGGGGGCACAGTACACGTTTGTCAAACGAACAGTAACTTTTCTTTTTTGCAATACTAGGAATTGAACCCAGGGTTCTCACGCTGAGCTACCTCCCCAGCTCTTCTTATTGTTGCCCAGCCTTGGCTCAAATTTGAGATCCTCCTGCCTCAGTGGAGAGTGAACCCAGAAGGGGCTTAGGAAGCCTGGAGGAAGTGACGCCTAAATTGGGATACGGAGCCTGTTGCCATGGTGTATGTCCGGAATACCAGCACTCCAGGAGACTGACATAGGAGGAGTAAGAGTTTGAGCCCAAACTTTAAAAATTTTAAAGGGTTGGGGATGTAGATCAGTGTGAAGACCCTAGTGCGATCCCCGGTACTCCAAAAAATAAAATAATACAATAAATCGAGACACGGAGAACAGAAGGAAGGGCCAAGGCAGGCTGAAGTTTAACTGTCCCTAGTAGGAAGAAATGACTGCAGTGGGCATTTAACTAGTGGTGGCTGAAGACCTTCCGGATCTGGGGGCCTAGCGGTCCTGGAAGGCAATGCCAGTCCTGTCCTTTCCAGGCACAGCCCCTAGGGAGGCCCTCACCTCCCTGGGCCCGTTTCTTCTGAGAAAGGAAGCCAACCTCCGTGCCAGCTTTGGGGGATGAAATGAAACCACCGAGGCAGCGTCCCTTTGCTTGCCTGTGAGCTCCCCCCCCCCTTCTGACTCTCCTGGCTGGCGCACGAGGCGGGTGCCAGGCCCAGCAGCTCCAGCACACAGTGCCCGCCAACTCTGGCCTCGGCCCGGGAAATGGCGCCACCCACGCCCCGCGCCACTGTGCGCTCGCTGGGTGGGCGGGCCGGCTTTTCTGTCGGAGGACGCGGGCCGGCCCGCGCCTTTAAGGAGCGGAGCGGCGGCGCGGAAATGCGAGCGCGCTGCGCGGCGGGCGGCGAGGCGGCCAGGTGAGTGCGGCGGGAGGCCTCCCTCGGCCCGCGCCCGGGGCCCCCATCCCTCCCGTCCCTCCCGTCCCTCCCGGGGCGCCGGCGCGCGAGCGGCTTTGCACCCGAGCCCGCGGCGGGACGGGGAGGCGGCGGGCCGCGGAGAGGCGCGGCGGCTGAGTTACGCCGGCGGCCGGGGGCGGAGGACCGGCAACCCAGCGGGGCCTTCGCCTCTCGGAAATGCCCCGGAGCCGGCCGCGGCCGGGTGCGGGCTAGTTCCTGATTAACGATGAGTGCCGCGGAGTAAGCGAGGGCCGGGTTCCAGGTCTTGCTTTCGGGCCATAAAAAGATCGCCCGACAGTTGGAGAGGTTCACGCATGCCCTGTAATCCCAGCACTCTGGGAGGCTGGGGTAGGGGAATTGCAAATTCAGGCCCAACCTGGGTAATTTAATGACTTAAGACCCAGTCTCAAAATTAAAAATAAAAAGGACCTGGGATGTACCTTAGTGCAGAGGCCCTGGTTCAATCCCCAGTACTGGGGAAAAGGAAAAGATCACCTGCCTGACTTGCCTACAGATCAGCCCCTGAGCTGGCTGCCTCTGTCCTGCTGTTCGGGAGGAACCTGAGGCCTCCAGGTGGCCTCTCCCAGGACACAGGGACTCTGCCCTCATACTGAGTCTCACCGCTCTACGGCTGGGCTTTGTACCCAGTTTTGTTTTGGTTTTTTTTGGTGCTGGGGATCGAGCTCGGGTCCTTGCGCTTGCGCGGCAGGCGGAGAAACCACTGAGCTAAATCCCCGGCCCTGTACCCAGTTTTGACTTAACATTTTTATACTGGGAAATCAGAAACGAATAACCTGTGTTCTTAGCAGTAGTTTATTTTTCTAAAATTAGCTGCTGGGGCGGGGGATGTAGCTCAGTAGTAGGATGCTTGACAGCATGTGTGAGGTGCTGTGTTCAATCCGCACCATTGAGACAGAGATTTTGAAACAATAAATGAAGTTCTCAGACCAGTGTGAGATCTTCCCTGCTGTCGTCATAGAGACTGAGGCCCAGAGCGCAAAAGGGACTCGCTTGAGCCCACACAGCTAGAAGGTGCAGGGGCTGCATGCAAGAGGGACCCTGAGGGGCCAGGATTTAGTTCAGTGGTTCCGCTGCCTGCCTCGCAAGCACGAGGACCCGAGTTCGATCACCGGTACCAAGAACAAACAAACAAAAAAGAGGGACCCTGGGATGGCTAATGGAGTACTTCCTGGGCTGCCTCAGCTGCTCTGGCCCTTTGGCTTGGGCCCTGACTGACACCTCGCGCGCGCACACACACACGCACACACGCACACACACCTTTTGCTGCAGCCCAAGTAAGTGGACACACTTCTTCCCAACGTCTGCCTCTGCTGCTTCCTCCTCTGGGTGCCCTCCCAGGAATCTCTGATGTCTAACTCCTCCTGCCCAAGGAGCAGCTCACCAGCTCCTCCAGGCCACTCCCCTGGTTTATCTCCTGCTCCACCGTGACATTTGGGAAGTGCTGTTGCAGGCACCTGTCTTGCCTCTTGGGTGCAATTTTGCTGGCAGGAGCAACAGTGCTCTCCAGGGCCCCTCTGCCCACCTGCCTGGCCCAGCCCAGGATGGAGAGAGAGACCTGTGAGGGGATAAATGGAAGTAAGAGTGGGCCCAAGATTTCTGGCCACTGCCACAACAAACTCCTTCAGTGAGCTGCATCCTGTCACAGGAAGAGTAGCCCAGCCTGGTGCCCTGTTGTAATGGCATATTTATTTCTGTTCAGAACACAGGAAGGGCTTTCTACCACAAAGTCAGATTTGACCCACTCCTCCCCTCTAGCACTTATTGGCCTCGGGCAAGATTCCTTACCCTGTGAGCTTCAGCATTGGTACTGGTACCTGCTTCAGAGGACAATGGTGATTCTTAAGTAAAATAATGCAAAGGTGTCAGGGCATGGAAGCCTTCCATTAGCACCAGCTATTATGAAAAGCAGCAGGAATTGACCACTACTGTAGTACAGAAGCTGTGTTAGATCATTAAACAGCTCACATCACCTCTTCTTAGAAGTGGGAAAGGGAGTTCAGGTGAAGCAAAAGTTAGTGCTGTGTGTGTGTGTGAGTGTGGGTGTGTGTGAGTGAGTGCACACATGCACTCAGAAAGGCCTACAAAGCTTTTCTCAACTCTTAAACCATCCTTTGCCTTTATTATAAGAGACAGAATGGAAGCCACGCTTGTCATCCCAGAACTAGAGAGGCTGAGGCAGGAGGATGGCTGGAAGTTTGAGGCCGGCCTAGGCTACAGTGATTCAAGCCCAGCCTAAACTACATAGTGAGACCTTGTCACAAACAGAGACAGAATTGACCTGTTTTTTTAAGCTTTTAAATTTTATGAGCTCTGAGTTCTCTGAGTATCTATACACCCAGATTGAGCCTGAGAATCAGTTTGTGTGATTAAAATTATGAAATATCATTATCTGAACAAAACACCTGTCCTTATCAATGGCCTTGGTTTGCAGTGGTCTTGGTTCAGGCCTATCCTAGAAGCAAGAGTTTGGGATCAGAGATTATCTTTGGCTTTTGGATGGAAGAACAGCAAGAGTAGCAAGCAGCCCGGAGTGGAAATCCACTTTCACTGTGTCGTAGTCCTTACCGAGCTCCTGGTTCTGTGAGTGACTGGATCAATTACAGTGTCAGAGTGGTGAGTGTGCAAAAGGGGCAGGGATGTCATGCCAGCTAAGGCTTGGGAATCTACCAGGAAAGCTATGTCTGTAGGTTGAAGAGCACTTATTGTAAAATCTCTGAGTCTGTTGGAATAGATTAGAGTACACTTGATACTCTGAAGACTGTTTCGATATAAGGCATAGATTTTAAGGCATAGATTTTTGTAAATTTCACTCTCTCACTGAATTTAGGAGGCTGTAAAGTTTTCTTTATTTCTGTGACTCTAGGGTCAGAAACACGTTTTTGTTTTCCAGTATGGTGACCACTAGCTATTTTAAAAATTAATTAAAATTAAAGGCAGAAGCTGCGTTCTTCACATTTTGAACGCTGAATACCTGCATGTGGCCAGAGGTTGTCCTCTTGGACAGCAGATAGAGACCATTTCCACCCTCGTGAAAGCTCTGTGTGATAGTGCTGCACATCATAGACCCTTGGGAAAGCCACTTGGTCATGGGGTTAAGTTCTGTTTTGCTGGCAGGTTGTCCTCGGGCCAACAGAGGGAGCTTACAAAGGATGTTTCATTGTCAGGAGTGGGGAGGTTAATAAAATTTCTTGGCCTCATTTCAGCTGGTCAGTGGCTTTTACCACTGCCAGAGTCAGGGGACAAGGGAGAGGGTGGAAGCAGATGAAATGTCCCAGGGCAGTGTTTCTTTATCCCAGCTGCAGGACCCTCATCAAAACACCCTTGCCAGAGCTCTGCCCAGGCATCTGGTCCCTGAAGGGGAGGCCCAGGGATTGGAGGTTTGTTTTGTTTTGTTTTTTGGTACTGGGGATCAAACTCTCGACCTTGTGCTTTCCAGGCAGGCAGGCAGGCAGGCAGGCAGTGGAATCACTGAGCTAAATCCTTGGCCCCCTGGGGAGCTGTTTTTAAAAACTCCCAGGCCAGGGATTTAGTTCAGTGTTGTTCCACTGCCTGCCTCGAAAGTGCAAGCCTTTGAGGTTGAACTGAAACAAAAGTCCTGGAGGACTGGAAGACAGTTTTCAGGGTAGATTTAGTGAATGGCTGTAATGTTTCTCGATGACTGGGTGATGAGACAAGAGATGGAATTGAGAATTCTCAGCAGAAGCCACTTGTCCTCTTTTGATTGTCACAATTTAGAGGTAGCATTGGTCTAGAGAAACCAGGAATGCTGCTAAGTCCCTGACCTGCAAGGCAGCCCCACAACAAAGAATCACATGGCCCCCAAAGTTGCTTGTTCCATGGTCTGGAAACCTGGTCTGGATCTGGGTTTCACGGCGTTCAAGTTCTTTCTGACCTTGGACGTACTTGCCTCTTCCCAAAAGCTGGAAGGCATCACCCAGACAGCCTCTCGGAGCTTCAGGAGCACATTCCAGGCTTCCTGTCTCCGAGCCCAGTGGAGTGTCACTGCCTCGCTGCTGGATGCAGCTGGGTTTGTCCCGATTCTTGGGTGCCCTGGTGCAGCACCAAGGAAACTGCTGAGTCAGGGGAGCAGAGATCGGGGGAAGGTGCCCGCCATGGTCCTTCCTGCTGAAGGCTAGGGTCCTTGGCTTGTTAAGTAATTATCTAAAGTAACAGCAGCCTTTGTGGGAGGCAGTTTTCCAGAAGCTTTGGCTGCCTGGCTCTTGGCATAGGGTGTTGCTTTGTAATGTACCCAGACTCGGAGTCCAGCCCTGCGTGTCATAGTTTCTGGGGACTGAGTCGCAGGCTGTACTCACATGGAAAGACAGCAGTGCAGACCTGCCCATAGTGTGTTCCACTGAGCAGAGCAGGGAAGGGGACAGAGGTGTGCCCAGGCTGCCTGACTGCCTGGTGGGGAAGGCAGGGTCTTTTCGTGGTGCAGAAGTGCTCGGTGTCTGACAGTTGCATGGGGAACCGTTTCCTATACCATTTCAGTTTGACCCCATCTGACGTTCTAAGAGATGCAGTGACTTTTCAAGGTCTAGTAGCTAGTCAGCAGCAGAGCAGAGATTGTGAGCCAGGTTATCAAAGTACAAAACCATACCCTCAGAGGAGCATTTACAGGTGGGCAATGCAGCAATAATAGACAGGACTTGTGGTGAGCTGGAGCTCAGCCTGGAGGGAGGGTCCGTATGGGTATGGGGTCCTGAGGCCACGCAGGCGTGGAAGGACGTGATGTGTCTGGAGGCTGCAAGTCAGCCTTGGAAGGGCACGTGGGTGGAGCCAGCCGGTGAACGATACACGAAGACATTGATGCTTGAAAACTGGATGGGCGCCAAGCCAGCGGTGGCCTTGTACCTCATGCTGAGAACCACTGTGAGCCCTGCTGGGATGGGGCAGAGGAACAGGAAACTGTGACATGAGGCAGTTTGCTCAACCTCTCTGGGTCCCTGCTGCCCAGCTACACTGGAGCCTCTAACCGTACTGCCGTAGTGAGGAACGCCCGTTGTGTAGAACAAAGTGCAGGAAAGGCTGGGGTGGACACTGGCCGGGCAGCCCTGTTTACTGGTCACCCCTGCACCAGGTCTGGACGGTGGCTGCAGGACTGTCTGCTCCACAGAGAAGGCGGTTGCATGTTGACTGAAAGCTTGTTGTTTGGCGCCCCCGAGGACAAAGTACAGTGGGTGTTAAGTGCTACAGCAGAGGCAGAGAGGTGGTCTAACTTGTCCCTGAGGAGCTGGCAGCCTCATGGGGCACACAGCCAGGTTTCTCACCATGAACCACAAATTACAGGTGCCACAAGAAGCAAGTGTTCATTCAAAACTCTGGGGCAGGGAGGGTGAAGTGAGGTTGCTCAGGATCTGAAGCAGGCCTAAAAGAGGGAGCTAACTTCTTGCTCTGCCAAGGAGAGGGTTTTTCGTTTTTATTTTTTCCTCAACTGGGGATGCCTGATGCATGCCAGGTGAGTGGTGTCCTCAGCCCTTTTTATTTTGAGATAGGGTCTTGCTAACTTGCCTAGGCTCGCCTCAAACTTGGGATCCTCTTACCTCTGCCTCCTGAGTAGTTGGGGTTACAGGTGTGAGCCACAAAGCCTGCATTGCAGCAAGAATTTTAAAGGATGAGGTGGGTTGGTACAGGATGTCTTGCAGGGAAGGAGAGTGGAGAGTATAGTAGGTCAGTTCAGGTAGAGTCGCGAGAGGGTCATACTAGTATAATGTTGCCAGTTTGTAGATGGGAAGCGGAAGTTCTCATGCCAGGAAAATATTCACTAGTGGACTTGTCACGTGTCATATCGGGTCATGTGCATCATCTACCCCTCTGCTTTCCTACCCTGGTGGCCATCCAGGCCCTGGCAGCATCTTTATTGTGTTCATCTGTCTCTCCCAGGCCAGAGGATGTTTTAAGACAAACAGTGGAAAGGAAAATAGCAACTCTTGCAAAAGAGGCAGGATTTCATGAAACCGAGCAAGTGACGGCAGAGAACTGCTGGAATGACATGTCAAGGCCAGCCTAGGATGTGGCAAGACCTGTCACCAGTTGAGAAGGAATGAGCATCCGTTCAGGGCACAGAGATTTGAGAAGTCAGAGGATTGACAGACCCTTGAGAAATGAATGAAGCTCTAAGATATATTTTGCAGAAAATGGCCTCTTCATGATAACACCATGATAACCAAACGTTAATGGGGATGATTTTTCATAGTATGTTTAGTATTTATTACTTTTAAAATAGACGATTTTGATTTTTGTTTTACTTAAACAAAGCTAAAGTTCCAAACAAAGCTGTGTCTCATTCTGAACTATGAAGTTGCAAGTGTGGCTTTACCACGTCTCCCTTTTCTTGTGCTCATTGTCCTGGAACCTTACCTGGGGAGGAGATTCTAGAGAAAAGGGAAAGAAAGCTAGGCTTGGTGCTGGAAGCCAGAAATGTCCTCCTAAAATCTTGTCCCCTTAAATCTTGCTGCTGCTTGAAACTCAGGACCTTGGGCTTGCAAGGCAGGCACGGCGCCACTGAGCTAAATCCCCTGCCCCAAAAGGCTTCCTTTTATTTTTGTTTCATACCAGCTTTGTTCCTGCAGTTAGAAAATACTATAGACCAGCTTCACCTTCTTTTAAAATATAAAACCTTTTTTAATCTCTTAACTATTCCCCTGATTTACAAGTGCAGGTTTAGGTAGCAGGAGAATGTTTTTGGGTACCCAGGTTCTATTTTAGGCCTGTTATAGCACACCCATATACAGGGCTATTTTAGTTGCTTTTAGTCATGTGAAAAGCAATCCTTATGTAATGCTCTTTCTAACACTTTGCTTTGAGGAAAATGAAAGCTCATGTGGACTCCCCCAGAATCTGAAGACTGTACAGCCTTTGCAGGTAAAGGGTCAAGTGGCTTTTTGCTTCTGTTCTAACCAGCAGGAGACTGGCTTGCATTTCAACAGTGCGGCCTTGTCGTCCACACATTTTCAGCAGGTGGTTATTTCAGACTACCCCAGCCCACATCTTGGCCCCAGAGTCTGATGTTTTTAAAAATCCTCCACCAGGTCAAGACTTGTGGCACATGCTTCATTGCCTTTCTTCTCGGCTGGTTTGCTTTTGTACAAGCTGTGCGGCGGGATACACAAGCTCCTGCCCTCGGCTGGGACCCTCACTGATCTGCCCGCCCTTCCCTCCTCTGACTCCTGATTTTCTGGGACCAGGCAGGAGGGCTTTCTGGATCTCTCTGCTGCTCAGCCTGCAGGTTCCCTGGCCCCTAGAAGGCAGGGGATGTGGGCCAGCTGGTTCTTGAACAGGAGCCCTGGAGGGGAACCTGCTGCTGGTGCTGTGTGCAGCAGGCAGCAAACCCTTTCACCGTCTTCTCCCAGAACCACAGAGTAGAGGAATTTATGGCTTATGAATAGCTGTGCGATTCCAGGCTGGAGAACTCTTATTTTCTATCTTAGATACTGTACTTTGAGTCTTAAAGACTAAAGTTCCTGCCAAGTGGACCTAACCTCTGGTCAGTCACATAGGGCAGCAGTCCTCCCAATCTTCAGATCGCACCTTATTAGCCAGCTCATCCAGCTGACGTGTGGAGGTGGGGGAATTGTTGCCTGACAGCATTCACGCTTGTATTTCTTCTCTCATGAGAAACTACACTTTGATTGCTGTCCTTTGTTACCTTTTAAGCTAGTATAGAGTCCAGGATCAGCCAGCAGAACTTGGTGTTATAATGGTCTACATTTTCATCATTCAACATGATAGCCACAAGCCCCATGTGACTGTTGAACACTTGCCATGTGGCTAGGGTAGCTGAAGAATGAATTTCAGATTTATTTGATTCTAGTTACCTTAAATTTAAATAGTCACGGGTGGCTAGTGGCTACTCTATTGGACAGCGCAAGATAGACTTTCATTTGAGGAGTTTAAATTGTCTTTACTTTCCTTTTTCTATACTGAGGATTGACTAAAGGGCTTCACACATGCTAGGCAGGCTCTCTACCACTGAGCTACATCTCTAGCCCTGTATGTTTTAATTAGATTTAAAAGTTCATATATATATATATATACGGTACCAGTCTGAAAGGCACAAAGGATATCAGTGGAAACTCTCACGCCCATCTCTGCCCCCAGTTTCTGTTCCCAGAGCCAGCCGTTGCTAGGTTTCTTGTGTATCCATCCAGAAACATCTCATACATGTGTAAACATGATCTCTCTCTCTTTTTTAATGCAGGAGCTTTTTTGAGTTAGTAATGGACCTTGGAGGTTATTAGGTGTAGGGACAAGTAGAACTGTCTTGTATGGAATGACTGGATGTAGTATTCTTTTGTAAAGCTGCAGCATCATTTACTTACCAGATCCCCTATAGTAGGCATGTAGGTTATTTCCAGTCTTTTATTATGATATACACATTATGATTATAATTAATAACCCTGCACAAACGTGTCTCTGTGTATGTTTAGATGTAACTACAGGGCCGGGGATTTAGCTCAGTGGTTCCGGTGCCTGCCTCGAAAGCACAAGGTCCTGAGTTCGATCCCTGGTACCAAAAAAATAAAAAATAAATAGATGTAACCACAGATAAGACATTCCTAGAAAAAGAAAAGCATCTTGTTAGGTTAAGGGTGAGTGCGGCCTACGTTGCCGCCCAGTTTGCTAGATTCCCATAACAGGGTCTGTGCCGGTCCACGGGCAGAAGCGTCTGGGCCTGCATGTACTTGGCCACATGGCCTGTCAGGCTCTTCAGTCTTTGCCAGTAGTCAGCGAAGACTGCCATCAGCCGCTAGGTGATGTGCCTGTCTCGTTGTAAATAATACTGAACATCTTTTTATATGTTTAAGAGTCATTTCTGTTTCCTTTCTGCTATTACCTCTTAAGATCGTTTGCTTATTTGCTGGGTTTGGCTCTTCTTGATTTGTAGAAATCTTTCATACATTAAGGAGACAAGTCCTGTGCATATGATATGTATTGACTTTGGAGTGGGCAGTACTGGGGATCGAAGCCACTGAGCTACATCCCCGGGCCATTTTTATTTTTTATTTTGAGAAAGAGTTTTACCAAATTGCTAAATTGCCCAGGGCGGGCTTGAACTTGCTGTCCTCTTGGCTCGGCCTCCCACAGCACTGGGATTATAGGTATGTGCTGCCATGCCCGGCTGCTTGTATTGACAAATTTTAATCTTATTTACCTTGTCTCTTTCCAAATGAATGTTTTGGTTTTTTTGTATCAGGAATCGAACTCAGGGCCTCATACTTGCCAGGTAGGCACTGCGCCACTGAGCTACATCCCCAGCCCTCCAAGTAAATATTTAAAAAACAACTTTATGCAGTCAACTTGTTACTTTCTTGTAATGATAATACAAAAATCGTTTCATAATAATGATGTTTTGTTATGCCTTCTGGTCTTTATATCTTTCTTAGAAAGGCCTTCCCTGTGGAGATATTGTAAAACAGTTCCTAAGGTCTGCTCTGGACCTCTCATGGTTCTGTTTCTCAGGTCTTACACTGACCTGCCTTACCAGGTCTGGAGCTCTGTGCCTGCTTCCCTTGCCTGTCTCCTGATGCTCCTGCTTGGAGCCCCTGCTGGTTCCTTTCTGCTTCTGCCCAGCCCTGATTTTAAGCATGCAGCCCACGTCGCTGGTCACTCCAGTGGCAGCATTGTCCTCCGTTGCCTGATGGCTGCTGGCCTTCTCCCATTCCTTCTGGAATACAGCATCAGGAATCTCTACCCCAGACGGAGAAGGGGTGCCCTATATCTTTATTTGAGCGTCTTTGCTAAGCTCCCCAGAGCACAGCTGCCCCCCACCTTTGCATTGTCTGTTCAGGCAGCCTAGTTGGATGCAGCTGTTCTATGGTCGATCTCTCACCTACTTTTTTTTTTTTTTTTTTTTTTTGGTACCAAGGATTGAACTCGGGTCCTTGCACTTGCGCAGCAGCCAGCGAAACCACTGAGCTAAATCCCCGGCCTCTCACCTACTTTCTTCTTTGACCTCCTGTGTCCCTTCCTGACTCTGACTCACTATGTGAGATGCCCTGTGCTCTGTGCACTTTTGCCTGATTGGGGAGGTGGCCTGAGCCAGAAGCCGACTGTAAACCACAGGATGCATGCTGCTGAGTGCTTAGGAGGGCGCTCTGCTCCATGCAGCCAGCAGTTTGGCTGGCTGTTAGCAGTTCATTCATATTCCCTCAGATGAATTAATGCTTTCTCATTTTGTTTCTGGTATTCTAGAATCTCATTTTTAGTTCCTGTCAGAGCCAGGAGCAGTTGAGAAAGAAGGCTGGGCTCCTTGACAAGTAAGTGTGGGTTTTTGACACCATAAATTACCCCAACAAAGCCAGCCCCCCTGGAGCCTGGGCCTGCTGCCTGGCTGAGCTCCTGCTATCCTCCATGGTCCACCAGGTGGGCAGTTCCGTGGTCACTAGGTCTACTGGGGAGGGCAGGTGCCTGAAGGTTTTTAAACTACTTTATACCCCAAAAGCCCCTATAGACAGTTCTTAAAGACTGTGCCAGGAGCAGGGCTCTGATGTGAAGGGAGTCTGGAAGACATGGGAATCTGGGGAGGCAGAGGAGTTCATCAGGAAGCTAGGACAGCATGGTTTGCCACCGGAAGGGAGCAGCAAGAGGGAGGACAGGGCTGGTATGGGGCAGGGAGCTGGTTAGTGGGGTGTGGGCAGTCAAGGAAGTCTGCACTTGGAGGATGAGTGGGCTTGTGTGCGATGGTTCACATTTTATCTGCTGGACATTGGACCAGGCAGGGCAGGGAAATCCTGGTATAAACTGAAATGATTGCTCCTAGAGCTGGTGGTGGAAAGATGCAGGTGTGAAGAGACGCTGTTGTGGAAGCAGAAATGGGGGAATGAGGCCGGCCCCCGTTTGCCGCAGAGGAGGTCCAGATGGCACCCTGTCCTGGCTGATGGGAAGTCTCACTCCTGATGGGACTTTTCTTCCCAGGCAACATTCCTACTGAGCGTTGACCCAACCTGGCCTCAGCGATTGCTTGCAAGAGGCCTTTAGGTATAAATCCCCAATGCCCGGTTGTCCACTGTGGTAGCTCCTATCTGCATGTGGATGTCAAGCATTTGAAAGGTGGCCGAGTAACTAAGAACGGAATTTTGGGTTTTGTTTGCTTCTAATTAATTTAAGTTTGTCTAGACTTAGAGAAGTTGACTTTGGAGCTGGTTCCACTCTACCACTGCGTAACTGGAGCAGTGAGGGGGGAAGACTGGAAAATACATTAGCACCTGGGAGGCTAGGCTGACGGGGGTTCAGTTGGCAGAAATCAGTGAATCAGGAGAAGTAGGGAGCGATGTATCTGAGGCACATAGGGCCTTGGCAGGGCTCCTACATTTGGAAAAATCTGGAAAGGTCCTATCAGGTGTGTTAGTTTTTTAATTCCCTGCAAGTGGGAGTGTTGCAGGATGGAAGCAAGAAGAGAATGAGGTGGGCCGGGGATGTAGCTCAGTGGTGCTCCACCTGCCTAGCAAGTACACGGTCCTGAGTTTGATCCCCGGTACTGAGAGAGAGAGAGAGAGAATGAATGAGGAGAGCATTGTGGGAGTTTGGGAGGGGGTGGAGAGGATCATGGGAATATTGGGGAGAGGTTAAGAGGGCATATCGTCCCCGGCCAGGCATGTTCAGCCGTGGCTTGCTTCACCAGCAGGGCTGCTGGAGCTGCAACTTGCAGAGGAAGAACAGGCTCAGCCAGAGGAGCGCTGAGACGCTAAGGCCCCAAAGAAGGCAGAGGTGAGCACCTGTGGCCAGTAATCCTGGGGAGTTGGCCGTGTTGGCAGTGATGACTGGGCAAGCTTAACTGCTTGTTTGGAAATCTCCGTGTAGTTTTCCCCCTGTGATGACAAAGACATATATGATAATGAATTAGAACAGCCCATTTCTCAAGTTATTCTGCCCTGTTGGTCCTGGGGCTTCCACATAAGAGAATCTTTTCGTTGTTGCGTGGTTTTTTACTGCTACTCTTTAATAATACAGTAGTTTTGAGGAACTAGTTACTCTTTCCAGGAGGCAATTTCAGAGATCAGTGTAGGTAAATGCAGTAGGGTATTACACTCAGATTTCAAGAACATAGTATCTTTCTGATGAAACATTGTGGGGAGAACTTTTAAAATTTTTTTATCAGTACATGTTTGCAGTACAAGATGACATTCCTTGTGTGGAGTTGATACATGTACAAACATTTTTTTTCTTTACCTTCAGCCATCTGATATTTTTATAAAGGGACTAAAAACACGTGTTGTAAATCTCTCTTTACCCATTTGACTTTTTTAAGGTACTGGAGATTGAATCCAGGTCATAATACATCTTAATTCCTTTTTTTCATCCCCTTTCCCTTCTTCCACCTCCCTCATTCACTTGATCCCTTTTCCATTTGAGAAAGATTTGTCTTCCTATGTCCTATTATGTATCTTTTATTTTGATCTTCATTGATAATTTGAGTTTCTCATATAAGAGAAACCATGTGATATTTAAGTTGTGTGTCTGACTTATTTCACTTAACATTATGGTTTCAGGGTGCATCCATTTTCCTACAAGTGGCTCAAGTTTATCTTTCTTTATGGCATAGTAGTATCCATCATGTATAAATACCATATTTTCTTTATTCATTAGTCTGTTGGACATATAGGCTGCTTCTAAGATTTAGCTGTTATGAATTGGGCCTCTAGAAACATGGGTGTGCATGAGTCACGGTAGTATGTCTTTAAATCATCTTTCAGGAAGATACCTGGAAGGAGGATAGCTGGGTCCAATGAAATTAAATAGTTTTTTGAGGGAGAGAATTTTTGTTGGCACAATAAAAGAAAAAATAGCAGCACTGTATAGTTGTAACAACACACCAACAGGAATAAGGAGTAAGCCAACTGGTAACTTGTAAAGTTGTTAACATGTTACTTGCTGTTGAAACAGCTTTGAAGAAGTCTAGAGGCTGTCCCTGAGCACACTGAACCCTGTACCTTACACATAAATACTGTACAATAAGTATCTGCTAGAGAAAGCATCTCAAAGGCAAATGTCACATGAACTCAGACATACCTACAGGTTTGTGTTGAAATTTGAGGCATTACCCTGGGGACATTTGTAACTTCTAAAGCCTCAGTTTTCACATTTTAAAATGGGAGAAATGTTTCCACTCATAGTGCTGTGAGATCAAACAGAAGGATGTGTGTGAGCGAGCCTGTGTGGGCCTGGTGTGCTGGCATGGAAATCTCACTGTCAGGTCTTGGGCTGCGGGTGGTGACAGCCTGGTCATTATAGTTTCTGTGATCGCTTCTGTGATCATTATTATTCTGGAGGGAGCAGGACTTTAGCTTGTCAGATTCGATGGGCTATAGGCTAGTGAAAGGCAGTATTTTCTGATAGTGTTCTGCATTCTGTTTATTCTTGGATTTTTGCTTTATACTCTGAAAACTCAAGGTGGGAACTCAGGATCCCATTTTCAAAGTCAGTCATGACGTTAGGAGAGAACTGTGACATGTTCTGTCTGACTTCTGAACTGATCAGATGACACAGTCTTTATCCAAGACATCTTTGTCCCTGCGTTCAGAGACAGAGGCCCCTGCACGCACGGCTTGGGTGTGAACAAGTGGCAGAGGAGGCTGAGAGGGAGCTCCGTCTGGGTGTACAGTGTGTTGCCATCACGGCCAGCCCCTCCTGACCCTGCTGTGCTTTGGGCACTGGGCCCTCATCTGACACAGCCAATGGTAAAAAGACTGCCTTTTTCAGTGTGCTAAGTCAGGCAGTGAGCATTACCAAGCACCAGATATTTGCTAGGTACTGTTTTTGCTTCTGGGGAAACATAATAGAGGACGAGATTCTTGGGAGGGCAAGCCAGAGCCTACTATAATTGTCCGGCATAATTTCAGAAGAGACTACTACTACTCTACAGAGTCGTAGAGAACACAAGATTGGGTTGAACGTTTTCATGTAACGGAAGAGGCCAAGGTCTCACGGCTGATGTGTGCAAGATGTGTGTCTCAGGCAGGAGGCAGCTGGCTGCCCGGCGAGGCCCCAGTCCAGTGCCCTCCAGTCCCGTGAATCTGCTGCTCAGTAGCAGCCAGCCATGTTCACTGTGCGTTCCAGGTCCATGTGTCACCTTTAGCACTTTTCTTTAACTTCTTTTTGCTTAAATTTATTCTTAATTAATTCACATCCCACCATAATTCGAAAGCATTCATAAAATAAATGAAAAGGAGCAGTATTACTGATTACCTGATACCTCCAAGAGGTCCCAAGGTCAGAGAGCTGTTTAAGATGGTCATCGTGAGGGTTACTCCCGTGTGTGTGTGTGTGTGTGTGTGTGTGTGTGCGCGCTTGCGTGTGTGTGTGGGGGGGTTGTGGTGCTGGGGATTGAATCCGGGGCCTTCACGTTAGACTCCATCCTCAGCCCTTTTTTCATTTGTAATTTTGACACAGGATCTTGCAGTCATTAATTTGCCAGGCTAGGCCCAAGCTTGGCTTCCTCCTGCCTCAGCCTCCCAGAGTGCTAGGATTATAGGCCTGCACCACCGTGCCCGTCTAAGAGTTGCTCTTTGACCTAAGCAGGACTGAAACTGAAGAGAGATGACCATCATAGTATGCACATCAGTGCTTGCTCATGCTAACTCCCGAAGCATTACTTAATGTTTACTTGGTCATGAAAGTCATCTGGCAAACTCTCAGTTTCATGGAACCCGTACCTTGGGAGAGTCCATGTTACAACCCTTCTGATTTTTGGTCGATGATGGTTCCTGGCTCATAGGACTTCAGTCTTTCTGATGCCAGCCTCTCCTGTGGGCATATAGAATGTTCCATTATTAAGCACCAGCTGGGCTGGCTAGCTGCCTTTTTAAAGAGAAGCTGGGTCAAGTCCTTTTTAAAGTGAAGGATGTTGCAGAGCTTGGAATAACTGTCCACTCTTTGTCTGTCTAGAAAACATTGTGATTGGAAAGCATTTCAGTTTTTTCAGTAACAGTTTACTTTATTTGACCTTGACAGGGAGAATGTGTGGGTTCTCTGTAGTAAGTCCAACTTGCTAAATTGATCATGTCTAGAAGAGACTTTATTCTGCTGTTAACTGTAAGATGGAACCCGATGGAACTTTCCTCAAACCTGAGTGACATGCACAGCAGACACTCACAAAGTGGGGCATTTACTTTTTCGAGGTCATACTTTCATTTCAGGGCTGCTATCTTCAGTGTCATAGCTTATGCTATTGATGGCTTTGGGCATAAGATGTTCTAATTTTTGGTCCAGAGGGTCATCATCCAATTAACTTCCTGAAGCTCAGAGTTCAGAATTCTCCATGGCCCTTAACATTCTTTAAGGACTTACTGTTTGGATTTTTTTGTTGTTGTTGTTTTGTTTTGTTTTTTGGTACTGGGGATCGAACTCAGGTCCTTGCGCTTGTGCAGCAGCCGGCGAAACCACTGAGCTAAATTCCTGGCCCAGGACTTACTGTGATGTAGAAATTTTGTTGTTTTTTTTTTTTTGTACCAGGGTTCGAACTCAGGACCTTGTGCTTGGGAGGCAGGCAGCAGAACCACTGAGCTAAATCCCCGGCCCTGGAAGAGTTTTTCTTGAAGCTGACAGTTCCCATGTTCATCACCTCGTGTGAGGCCCACAGTGCTCAGATCTGTACACATTCCTTTCACCTGGCAGTGCATTTGCCGCCTCAGTGGTGAGGCCTCCTAACAGTGCACGGTGTGCCCAGTGTTCCACAGGTGACTCCTCCAGGGAGTGTCATGATTACTGAAAGAGGAAAACTGTCGGGTCTCTGGCAGCACCATTGGGAATGGTTTTCCCTTAAAACAGTTCAACAGAATCGAGCCCATTTTGTAACAAGCTAGGAATGGAACTGAAGGGCTTGCACGTTCTAGGAAAAATGCACCAGCACTAAGCAACTGCAACTCTGCTTTTCATCAACCCATATGTAAAATGTGTGTGTCGTGTACTATGCGATACAGTCACGTATACAAGAGAGAACGTATTTGATTGTCCCTACCCTTAGGAATCTAACTCTAGAAAGAGAAACAGGCTTGTTTCCTCCCAGCTTCTTATTGTGTATTATTTATTTTTGAATTGTACATGATAAATAATTCAAAACATTTAAAAAGTGAAAAGCAAATCTCTTGTCTGTCTCTGACACCAAGCCCTCTAGTTCCCTGCCTTAGGTGTAACCATTATTACCAGTTTTTTGTATATCCATCCAGTGATACTCTGAGATACAAGCATTCATGTGTATGTGTATATTTTCATTTATTTCTTCAAGGTTTCCTGTCCTCTTTACTTTTATCTTTTTTATTTTTTATTTTTGGCACTGGGGATCGAACTCGGCACCTTGTGCTTGCGAGGCAAGCGACAGAACCACTGAGCTAAATCCCTGGCCCTGTCCTCTATACTTTTAAAAATTAAAAATCTGCACGAAAGTAAAGGAACAATACCATAACCTTCACCGGGAATCCCTAGTGCTTAACATTTCATCATAGTTGCCCTATTTCTTCCCTCCCAGCACACATGTGCACATTACCTCTTCTGTCCCAAACCTTTGAAGGTGAGTAGTGGGTATGTCTGTATCTGTGCACAGTACATGCCTCTGCCCTCAGCACCCCCGAGAACAAAGGCATTCTTCCCCCTGCATATGTAGCCAGTGTCATCATCACACTCAGCACCCATGGCAGTAGTGTTGTCTGACACCCTGTCTTCACTCAGGGTTCCCCAGCTATGCCAACAGTGTGCCTTGTAGTTGTAGTGTTTTGTCTTTTTAAATCCAGGGCCATTTAGTTCCTGAAGCACATGCTGCTGTTCCCTCCTGATCTGTCACATTCATCCTCTTTTCCCTTCTGCTTCTTCACCTTCCTGAGGAGGCAGCGTTAACGCCATCTCTCTCCAGGCCCCGCAGGCGCCAGCCATCCTAACGCACAGATGGACCCTGATGTGGTGAACATGTTTGTGATTGCTGGTGGGACGCTGGCCATCCCCATCCTGGCATTCGTAGCCTCCTTTCTCCTGTGGCCTTCAGCGTTGATAAGAATCTACTACTGGTAAGTTAATCACATAACTGATATTTTCAAGAGTGTGGTAATATTGTCAACATTGTTGTCCTATTTTTTGTTGAGACAAATACTGCAGAATTTTATTATGAAATATTTAAAACCTAAAGAAAAGTTGATATTGATAAAAATACATGTATTTGTGTTTTTTAAGAAAAAAAAGAAAAGAAAAGTTGAGCTGGGCAGAATGGCGCACACCTGTAATCCCAGCCTTCAGGAGGCTGAGGCAGGAGGATCGCTGTGAGTTTGAGGCCAGCTTAGGCTATGTTGTGAGTTCAAGACCAGCCTGAGCTACATAGCAAGGCCCTGCCTAAAATAAATAAAATAAAATTTAAAAACCATAAGTTAAGTGACACACATTGTCTTTTGAGTTTTGGAAGTATTCTCAGAGAATTGGTTGGCACTTCTCATCAGGTAAATCCTTTCAGGTTTCTGATAGCATCTTTGCCCTACACCATGGGCCTCCATACTCAAATGCCATTTTTTATTAAATCAAATGAGAGCCGGGAGTGCAATGCACTGATGTAGACTGGAAACACGGATATGGCTGTCACAGAGGTGTGATGACAGAAAGGCCTCTCCCAACCACTTGCTGTGGAAACCAGCCTCAGTGCTGCAGTGGTCCCTAACTTCTGTGTCCCCAGGCTGTCGAGGGAAAGGCTTCAGTCAGGGGCAGTCATTGAGATATTTGGGGGATGGGTTTATTTCGTTTGCAATGCTGTTTGTAGCTTGTGCATGCTACATGATACTTGATTTGTAAAAAGGAAAAATAGGGCCAGAGATGTAGCTCAGTGACACAGTGTCTACCTGGTAATCATGGGTCCCTGAGTTCAATTCCCAGTACCAAAAAAAATGTTAAAAAGGAAAAATAACTTCATAGCAAATACTTCACTTTTTTATTGATTTCAGATTCACATAAAATTCCCTATGTTAAAGTGTACAATTCAGTGGTTTTCATATATTCACAGTGCTTAACAATCATTATCATTATATAATTCAGAACTTTTCCCTTTCCCCAAGGAGCCCCCATACCTGTGAGCAGTCACGCCCAGTTTCTCCCTCCCTCCAACACCAAAGGACCATTAATCTGCTTTTCATCTCTTTGGCTTTGCCGATTATGGACATTTCATATAAGTGGGGTCATACAGTGTGGGACCTTCCTGACTACCTCCTTGCACTTAGCATGTTTTCAAAGTTCATCTGATCTGTGTTGTACTGTAAATCAGTACTTCAGTCATTGTTGTGGCGAATAATACCCCATTGTATGTGCTATAGTCTGAATATGGTTTCCCCTCTGTAACTCACAATGACATTTGATTCCCAGAGTAACAGTGTTGGGAGGTTATGAGGGCTTTAAGAGGTGATTCAGTTGTTAAGAGATGAGTACAGTTCTAGTGGGACTGGATTGCGTTACTGAGCGAGAGTGGGTTGTTATAGAGCAAGGCAGCTCCTCCGGTTCTGTCTCTTCTGCACATGCCCATTGCCCTTCTGCTTTCTGCCATGATGAGAAGCAGCACAAACCCCTCACCAGAGGCTGGCACCATGCCCTTTGGACTTTACAGGCTCCTGAAACATGAACCAAAATAAACCTCTTTTCTAAATCACCCAGTCTCTGGTATTTTGTTACAGCAAGAGAAAACAGACTAAGATAGTTATACCACATTTCATTTATTTGTTCAGTTGTTGCTGAATACTTGGAGTTGTTTCTGCCTTTTGAATATTATAAATAACGCTGCATATTTTTTCAGATGGGCTATTTTTTTTTGCCTGGGCTAGTCTTCAACTCCTGGGGTCAAGCAATCCCATTGCCTTGTGTCTACTGGCATGCTCCACCATACCCAGCTCAACAACTGATCTTAAAGCCTTCCCAGGCTGATCACCCAGCTCAGAGTGGCAGCTGGAAGATAAACACAATGTTTTTGTGAACTCAGATGCACAGGCCAAGAAGAAAACCCAGCTGGTTGAGGAGGATGAAAGTCCTAGAAATCCTTTCAGATGATGCCAGATGGCACTGTGACATGAGGGGTTATGATTATACACTTGATCTTAGCCAAAAGGTTGAGGAGCGATGGGGGGATTATGATTGTAGCAGTAGCACCCATGGTGCCATTGCAGAAGCTGTCAGAAATCCTGAGTTGCTCCCTCTACCTCAGGAAAAGCATAGCCTCTTTCCTCCAGGTCACCTCACAGCAAGTAACATTTACACAGTACTCATCATAGCATGAGCAGCTTTACCATGAGTCACTTATCTCCCTTAATCACACCTACCCCGAAGGCTTTCTGACCACCAATGGGATCAGCCTGCAAAACTAGGTGCATCAGGTGCATTAATTTTCGGGCTTGCCTGGCAAACAGGAGCTGCAGGCAGGAGAGGTAGCCCTGCTCACCTCGCCCCTGCTGCCCCATTGAAAAAGCATAAGGGCTGGGTGCAGCCTTCACCGTGCACTCCTGGCTCCCTCCAGCCCTTCCCAGCTCCTCAGGGGCTGGGCACAGGGGTCCTCAGGCTACAGCCAGTCTCGAGAGTAGCTCTCTCTGGGTCTGGCTGCCCCTGAAGCATGGCCAGCCCATTCCCACAGTGATGCGCACCATAGCTGCTCTTGTAGGAGGTGCCAGACACTTCCCTGTGAGTCAGCAGAGAGGCACAATGGAGGATGCTGTGATCACTTAGATGAGTGGTTTCCTCAGCTGTGGGCAGGAGTTCTGATTTCCATTGTGTGAGGAAAATACTGAGTGTTCATAGGATGGAAAAGACTGAGATTTTCCATTTTTTGTTTTACCAGAGAAACTCAGTTGTGAAATCAGGATAAAATAATGTAGTAAATAATTTAAGAGAGTAAAAGGGATATGAGTTAGAAATGAAGAAATAAAATTAGCATTGTTTGCAGATGACAGGATTGTGTATATAGACCATCTGAAAGAACCTATAAATAATTTGTTAGAATTAATAAGTAAATTTGGCTATGTTGATTAATACAAGATCAGTAACCAAAAACTGGTTATACTCCATACCAGCAACAAATGAAACATGAAAAATGAAAAGTTTAATGGTGTTATTTACCATGGCATCAATAATTATAAATGAACACATAATAATATAAATAATAACATCAAAAACTCTATACAGAAAACTACAAAGTATTTATGGGGGAAATTTTAAAAGACTTAATTAATGGAATATAATATTTGCCAGTTGGAAGACATTGCTATACAGATGCCAGACCTCCCTGCAGTGATCTGCATATTACAACAGGTTTCTTTTTTATAGAATTTTTTGTCTGTTTGTTTGCAGCACTGGTGACTGAATGCAGGAGTGATCACCACTGAACCACATCCCCAATCTTTTTAAGTTTTTTTACTTGAAAATTGGATGTGATGGCACATGCCTGTAACCCTACCACCGGGAGGATTGCCACCAGTTCAAAGCCAGCCTGGGACACATAGTGAGTTCAAGGCCAGCCTGGACTATTAAGAGCAAGATTCTGTCTCAGAAACCAAGAAAAAAACTTTAAAAAAAATTTTTGAGGCCGAGGATTTAGCTCAGTGGTTCTGCCACCTGCCTTGCAAGCACAAGGTCCCAAGTTCGATCCCCAGTACCAAAAGAAAAAAATTTTTTTTTTGAAACAGGGTCTTGCTAAGTTCCCCAAGCTGACTCAAACTTGCAATCCTCCTGCCTCAGCCTCCGGAGTAGTTGGGATCACAGGTGTGCACCACTGTACCCAGCCTTTTGATGGAATTTAATAAGCTGATTCTAAAATTTATAAGAAAAAGCAAAGGACTAATTACACAAGACAATTTCCAAGGAGAACAAAGATGATTTATATTACCAGATATTAAGACTAATTACAATATTACAAAAGTCAAGTCAGTGTGAAATTGGCAGTGAGGAAGACAAATAGACCAGCAGAACTAGAGAATCTAATAACAGATGCATATACTTAGTCTTTTGATTTCTGAAAGTGCACTGGGTTAACTAGATACCCATCTGGAAAAAGCTTTGACACCTTTGGTAGGCAGAATTGCTAAACTGGCTCCTCAAAGATGTCCCTCCCTGATCCCCAGACCTGTGACTAATGACACATCATTCCAAGATGAAGCAATGTTGCCTGCAGTAATTGTGTTACTTTGTATACAGTGGACTTTAAAACAGGGAGATTACCTGGTGGGCCCCATGTAATCACCATGACCTTTAAAAGCAGAGATGTGCAAAGCATGGGGAGGACTTGGTGCTGCTGCTCCTTTGACTTAGGTGAGGGCCACATGGGGGGAATGCAGGTGGGTTTTAGGAAGTAGTCCTCAACCGACAGCCAGCAGGGACATAGGAACCTCAGTCCTACAGCCACAAGGAACTGAATTCTGCCAGCAAGCTGCATGTAGGCCCCTGCATTATACATTAAGATAGTACATTTTACACCGTGCTTATTTTACCATAATTTTAAAAAAGTCTGTAAGTACTTTCTTCAGAGTTTTCCTTTAACTGGAGGAAGAACTTGTAGAACAAGGACTCTGGCCACTGGAGAAGTTCCATTTTGGATTTCTCAGTTTAGGTCAATAGAGCCCTCAGTGACTTCTGTCCTGAAACAGAGCATTTGACTTTTGTACTGTTTGTAAAAGATCTTGCTCCTGAGACATTCATTCATCTCACCTTCATTCTTATGTTTCTGTTGGTAAGGTTGCCCATAGGTCTGATCTCTGACTCTGAGCTAGAGGCTGTGTTTAACCCAGAGAAGTTGCATTCTGGTTTTTTCCATCTGGGCCATGGGTCTTCTTTTGCAGTGTTTTAGCTGGCCCTATAGCTTCAAGTCTTCTTCCCAGTTGTTCACTGAGGGGATCACCTGAGATTATTGACAGCCCCCATCTCATTGGTTCGGAGGCATAGGCAGATGTTTCCAGTGGATATACCAGTTAAGTGAAAACTATCAGGCAGTCCTGCCTGGCGATGAAGTCCTCAGCTCCTCAGCCTGGCACTTGGCCTGACTTCCCAGCCCTGTCTCCCTTCACTCTGAGTTCAGCTCAGACCTGCTGCCCCTGGGCCCTTGACCGCGCTGCTTCTACCTCCTGGCTCACCTTCCCTGTGGTCTCCAGCTGCCATATTTTGGGTGTCCTGTGACTGCTCAGCTCCCGCCTTTTCCATGAGGTCCTTCCAGCTCCTCTGTGACCTCACACTGTGTGCTCTGTGAGAGCTGTAGAGAATTTGAAGCCGGTAAAAAGGTAACACAAAGAAAACGCAAATTACCCATAACCTCTTGAATCATTTTCTTCAATGCCTCATTCTGCTGCTTTTCACCCGTCCTTTCTGTGTGCACTTAAAAATGTTTTAGTACAATTGGAATCAATAGTATGAAAAACTTGGGTCCTGTTTTTTCATTTGACATCATGTCATTAACATTGTTCCATGTTACTGAATATTCTTTGAAAACCTCTTCAACAGTAAGATAATACATTGTCTAGATATATTGTGATTTAGTTATTTGTTTTCTATTAATGGACACGAAGTTTAGTACACTATTTGTTTTTTTCTAATTTAAATAACACTGTTCTGGGTATCTTAAAATTTTTTTCCTCAAGTTTTCTGCTTATATTCTTAGGACAAATTATTCATAGAAGAAAAATTACTAGGCCAAAGAGCATGAGAATTTTTGGTTTAATTTCCTGAAATGCTAGGGATCAACTGAGGGCCTCACACATACAGATGAGTGCTGTGCTCCCAGCTCATGAGGTTTTTAAATACTCTTGATCATTAATACCAGGTTGCTTCAGATAAAGGTTAAACATTATATTGGCTTAAGAAATATTTCCTAATTTGGAAGTCCATAAAAGGGTATACTTGATGTGATTATATCTTTAATTATTAATTTGTTCATGTTTCCTATATTTGTTCATCATTAATATCTCTTCTATTTATTTTTCCTAGTATTAAATTGCATGGTTCCCAGTATTTTTAGCATAAGTCATATCCATTTGTGAACTTTTAAATTTAATTTATTTATTTATTTATTTTCCAGTACTGGGGCTCGAACTCAGGACCTTGGGCTTGCCAGGCAGGTGCGGTCCCACTGAGCTGCATCCCCAGCCCTGTGAACTTTTTTATACATTAAAGATATCAGTCTTTGGCTAGGGGCTTAGCTTAGTGGTAGAGTGCTTGCCAATCATGCAGAAGGCTGTGGGTTTGATTGCTAGCACCACAAAGAAGAAAGAAGGGGAAGGCGGATGCACATTGAGGCGATACTCTTAAGTGAAATAAACAGGACACACATGTGTAAATACCAAACAGTTTCTCTGGTGTGAGAAACTGAAAGTGTAAATAAGAATCAAAATGTATAATTGATATTGTGAAATAGGAAGATGTTTAAAGGAATAGGGGAAGTGGGAGGGGAAGGGGAAAGGAAAGAAGGGAAAAGAAAAAAATATGAGAAAAGGAAAAACATGGAAACAAAGCCTTTGTAAATAGGGAAGGGAGGATAGGGTGAAGGGAGGGCAGGGGAATGAGGAGCGAATAAAAACCAAGATGCATCATGTACAGGTACAAGATCCCAGTGATGAATGTAACTATTTATACCTAAAATGTACCAGTAAACTAAATGGAAAAAAACGAAAGAAGGGGAAGGAAAAAGCAAAGATAAAGATAGCAAGTATGGCTGTCATATTTGCTGCAAGTATTTCCTCCACTTTTTCCCTTGAATTTTGCCAAATCATATACTGCAAAGATAGAATTGTTTTTATGTAGCAGCAGTGTCTACTATCTATTGAATATTTACCACCTATTTGGATTTGCACAAAACATTGTATATGGATTGTCTTTTTAATCTTTGATATTCTTAATGGAATGCAACACTTCTATGTATAATCCATGAGGGAATTGAGGTTCAAGATCATATAGTCAGTAAATGAACAAGCTGAGATCTGAGTGAAAAAACAAACTCACATCATGATGGTGTGATTTAGAATTTTGAAATGTTTGCTTCCTCATTTGATGAGCTTTTAAGCTAGCCAATTCTATTTTGAATGTTTTGAAATGTCAATGAAGTAATTGAAAAAGTATCAAAAAGAATGCAGAATGTCTCTCCCATGTCTGTTCTCCCTCTGCCCCCTTACTGTTCTCCACCTCTGTCAGATACTTATTAGTGGCTTGTGTCCTCCCACATTTTTTGTGTAGAGATACAAGTAAATATGAATGTATACCCTTACTTCCTTTCCTTATTTTACACAAATGGTTAAAACCAGTTGGTTTAGGTTATCTGCTTTTACAAGATTTGGCTACTTCTTTAGTGTAAAATATATCCCAAAGTGAGTCTCTGATTGAAATGTCTTTCATTTTGAGGAGATTCTTCATGCACAAAGCTCAGTTTTGTTTTTTTGGTTCTGTTTTTTTTTTTTTTTTTTCTTTTTGAGGCAGGGTCTCCCTTTGAGGTGCAGGCTGGCCCTGAACTCAATGTGTAGCCCAGGTTAGCCTTGAACTTGCAGCACTCCTCCTGTCTCAGCCTCCTGAGTGCTGGGATTACAGGCATGTGCCATCATGCCCGGCTGAGTTCAGTTTGTTTTGATAGAAATTTCACATTGAAATCAATGTGGAGCCAAACTGCAGTACTGCCAGCTCTTATGTAACCAACAGAAGCTGAGCTCTCAAGCAGCCACCGTATGTTATAAGGAATAAAAGCCAGAGGATGGGTACACAAGGTTCTCAAGAGAGAAGTTAACACTCAGAGTATCTAAAATTATATATTGACACAAGTTTGCCATGTGAGACATACTTAAGAAAACACTCCTGGGCTGGGGACTTAGCTCAGTGGTTCCAGTGCCTGCCTCACAAGTCCAAGGTCCCGAGTTTGATCCCCGGTGCAAAAAAAAAGAAAACGGATTCCCTTAGAGCAGTAAGAAAACACTCCAGCTAGGAGTGATGGTGCATTCCTATAATCCTAGCATTCTGAGAAGCAGAGGCGGGAAGATCTCAAGTTCAAGACCAACACAGGCAATTTCGCAATTTAGCGAGACTGTTTAAAAAAAAAAAAGACTTGAGGCTGTAGCTCAGTGCCAAGACCCTGGGTTCAGTCCTCAGTACTACCACAAAAGAAAATACCAAAACACTTCCTTAGCCTTCTTAATGCTCCCTGAAAGTGAAGACCTGCAGGACTCCGAGCCCAAGAACTGGGAAAAGGGTTCGACTCACTGCTCAGTAGGACATCTAGAGCGGCCCCATGCCCTCAAACCTGCATATCAAGGGTGTGCTGCTTTTGTTTTGCCCAGGTACTGGCGGAGGACACTGGGTATGCAGGTTCGCTATGTGCACCACGAAGACTATCAGTTCTGTTACTCCTTCCGGGGCAGGCCAGGACACAAGCCGTCCATCCTCATGCTCCATGGCTTCTCCGCACACAAGGACATGTGGCTCAGCGTGGTCAAGGTGCAGCCCCCAATCCCTCCCTTAGGACGGGGCTTCTGAGTGCGGGTGATGTCCCAGCAGTGGAAAGCAGAGGGAACCAGAACCACAGTTCAAGTTCAGTCTTAAAATTAACACAGTATAGTAGTTTATACAAATGATCTTGTCCGACAAAACTGAGCTGAATGTTAGTTGTAAAATCTGTGCCTTAGAAATCTTTTCACCTTGTTTTAGTGGAGGTTTCTTTTCTGATGCAGCTTCATCTCAGAACTGCCACAGTCATCAAAGCTGGGCTTTTCACAATCCTTTTGTTCTTTTCTACACCGGGGTTCTTCTTCCTCCTCACACCCTTCTTTTTACTCCTTCCGCTTCCCCCTTTCTTGTACTTCTGCTCACCCCCGCCCTATGTCCCCTGCCATGTGCTAGAGATTGAACCAGAGCCTTCACACTGAGCTCCGCCTCTAGCCCTTTTTCAACCACTTTCTATTTTGAAGGAGGGTCTCCCTAAGTCACCAAGTTGCCCGGGCTGGCCTCAAACTTGCCATTCTTCTGCCTCAGCCTCCCATAGTGCTTGGGTTGTAGGCATGTCCCACCACACCGGAGTCTGTTTTCTTAGCCATTTAGAGAAACAGTCTTGATCTGACAGCTTTCTGGAATAACTGTCCAAGTTACTTTTGGCCTGGTTTGCTTGCCGTACTTAAGGATGACCAGCCAGTGAAGATTGGGGCCGGCAGAAGTTTTGGAAGGGGTATCCTTGGCCACACCTGAGGGTTCCCGAGTATTTTCTACACCCAAAGGAAAACACACACATGCTCCAGTTACTTGTGTCCTTATTTCCACATGCCACTGTGAGGACATCCATCTTCATGCCTTCACAAACCCCTCACTTTCTGTTCCCATCTCACCTTCTCTGTGATTGGATATTTGTTTGTTACTACTCATGTTTTTCAGTTTCCGAATTAAAAGTGGTGATCTCTAAATGGTAAAAGGTGGTTTAGGATAATAATCACCTCAAGAACTAGAAAAAGAAAGAAAAGCTGAAACCAGCATAGGGTGATCAGGCATAGTTTTGGTGAGGCCAGGCATGGTGGCGCACACCTGTGATCCCAGCACTTGGGAGGCTAAGGCTAAGAGTTCAAGGCCAGCCTGAACTATACAGTGAGACCCTGTCTCAAAAAACAAAACAAAACAAAACAAGACATGGTTTTGGGGAAAGCATTTTTCTTGTTGGCTCTGAAGCTGGCCAGGGCTCTGAGAAAATAGAACCATCCCTTCTAGTTTGAAGCCAGCTGTCTTATGGAAGAGGGAGGGGGAGGAAAAAGAGCTAGTATCTGCCAAGCAGTGTTAAAAAAGAACCAGAGGAAAAAAAGAACAAAGAGCAAGAGAAGTAAGCCTGCTTCCCTAAGTTTTGTGCCCCATTTCCAGCCATCTGCTGAGGCCCTTTTCATCTGTGTTTTAGTCTTTGGGGGTCTCTGCACTCCATGAGGCTACTGGCAATGCTTATGCACATTAATTGTGTAGATACTGGGAGGCCCAGAACCATTCAACCCCAGGGATGGCTTTCCAGGTCACTTGGTAAGTGGGGGCCCCCTTGCCAGAAAAGTGGGCAGATAGCTTTTGCATACCAAATACTGACTGTCTGGGTATGTGTATCCTCAGTTCCTTCCAAAGAACCTGCACTTGGTCTGTGTAGACATGCCGGGACACGAGGGCACCACCCGTTCCTCCCTGGATGACCTGTCCATAGATGGACAGGTCAAGAGGATCCATCAGGTAAGCAGGAAGATCCTCCATAGTTTCCCTCCCTACAATGATGGGTCTTGCCCATTATTGCATGTCCAAGGCTGGTGGGCAGGCAGGAGCATTCCACCCTGACTCGTGACCAGCCTGCCACACATTCTGCCTACAAGCGCCCCCACGTTACATGGCAGCCCGACGCCATCCGACACCAGCTGTAGAGGGCCCGAGTGTATACGGACTGTGCTCCTAAGCCTCCTGCACTTGCTTGTGAAGAAACAATCTAGGCATTTTCTTGGCTCCTTGAAAAGGGAGTTCAGAATTCCTCAAGACTATTCCCTCTTTGGAGGTCTGTTTTTCTCTTACCAGCTGTACGGTGACAGCAGTCCCACTTCTTTCTGGTTAGGGAGGGTGTGCTTTGCATTTTGTCATAGTTTAGCATCTGTCTCCAGCTCTCTACCTGGGCTTTCAAGGTCATGGGAGTGCAGGAGCCATTTCAGAATTCAGCAGCTCTTACATTTCAAGTTAACATTAGGTATTGTTCCCAGATGAGGATATTTATTTAATAATGTCTGCCATTTCCACTGACTCATATATCTTAGTGAAGTCAGGAACCTTATTTCTTTGGCCTTTTGCTGTATCCTCAGCACGTGACCCTCATTCCTTGTACATAACAGGGAGATAAAACTTTTTTAGATGATGGATAGATGAATGGATGGGTGTTGGACAGGACGGGCTGTAGATGAGGGCAGGAGTCACCTAACTATGGCCCTTGGGCCTTTTGGCCTCCCGCTATTTCTGTAAACTGTTTTGTTGGAACACAGACCCAGTCATTCCCCTAGGCGTTGTCTTGCGGCGCAATGGCAGAAGTGAGTGGTCCCATCAGAGAACATACAGCCCTAAAGCAGACAGTAGTTACCTGCACCTTCCTGACCTGTGGGTCGGGGGACTCTTTACTGGTTTTAAACTTGGAAGGTCGCCTCAGCCACTTGTGCCAAGTAAAGGGAAGTACGTGCTTACCAGAGCCTTGTTTCAGTAACGGGTCCGGCAGAGTCTCGGGCTCTCTGTCCACAGCATTTCCCGTTGTCCATAGCCAACCCAACTCGACAGGGCTCTCTACCAGGTGCTCACTCTCCATTGCCATTGTCTCACTGATAACCACGCTCCTTTTCATTTCCCTTCCTAGTTTGTAGAATGCCTTAAGCTGAACAAAAAACCCTTTCATTTGGTGGGCACCTCCATGGGTGGCAACGTGGCTGGAGTGTATGCTGCCTACTACCCGTCGGATGTCTCCAGCCTGAGTCTGGTGTGCCCCGCTGGTGAGTGAGGAGGCCAGACCACCCCTGAGAGTGACAAGAACACAGGGGTGTGAACCTCTGAAGACAGGTGGCCAGTGCCTGCTGTGACCGTCTCCTAAAGTCCTCTTTTGATGTGAACTTTAGAAGTATGTGATGTTTTAGTGATGCCTCTAACCAAACAGTAGTTGTATACTCAGAATCATTACCAGACTGACTTAAAATGTGGAACCGGCCCTGCTCCACAAAGAATTTGAGGCGGGTGGTTAAAATGTGCATAGTGCTTTGAAGCACATAAGTATTTTGTGATATAATGTTAGTGTTAACGTTCAACAGGCATTGAGCTGTCAAGAGTTAAGGTCTTTATATGGGTTTAATTTTCACAATAACCATATGAAAGCCTCCCCTGTGAGGCTGAGGCGGGATTCTTATGGGCTCCCAATGCTCCTAGTCCACAGGCCACAGTGTGAGTAACCAGCATGAAAGTACATATCTTGAAGGATATTGTTTTGTTTCTCTAAGTGTGGTTTTGACTTTGAGCAAAGAGAGAACTACCAATTAAAAAGAAATCGGGTGAAAGAAACCTAAAATGCATTAGTTTGGGGCTGTTACTGGAAGTTCCCTACGTAACATGAGGGTTGTTACAAAGATCGACGTACTGTCAAACTGCTATGGTTTGAATCCCACAGGCCTGCAGTATTCAACTGACAATCAGTTTGTACAGTGCCTCAAAGAGCTGCAGGAACAAGAAGCCATTCAGAGGATTCCCTTGATCCCATCTACCCCAGAAGAGATGAGTGAAATGCTCCAGCTCTGCTCGTACGTCCGCTTCAAGGTGCCCCAGCAGGTAAGTGATCCCAGCAGCCACAAACTCGTCCCCTGCTGGGTGCCTGGGCCCCAGCCCCTCACACCTTCCCTCCTGCACCTGCCATCAACCCTGTCTTGCCCTCTTCCATTTATTTGTATTTATTTTTTGAGACCGGGTCTTGCCGTGTAGTTTGGGCTGGCCTTAAACTCACTGTGTAGCCCAGGCTGGCCTCAAACCCACAGTGATCCTCCTGCCCCAGCTTCCCAAGTGCTGGGATCACAGGCATGAGCCACCACTCCTGGCCTCTTCCATTTATTCATTTCACAAATACCTGTAGGGTACCTGTGATACATCAGGCTTTGCTGGACGTAGTTGTAAATATGAAGGACAGAGAAGGTCCCTGGGCAGATCAGTCTAGTGCAGACAATTAGCAAGTAAACAAAAAATTACAAATGGAAATGAATTTTTGAGAGGAAATGAAGATGACAGTGATTGAAAACAGGGAGCCAGGGGCAGCTTTGATAAGCCTGTCCGAGGGAGTAGTATGTGCACAGGTGAAAAAATGTATAGAAGTTCGAGACAGTGGAAGGAGGCCAGGTGTTGTAAGCCTGAAGGGTGAGGGAGAGAATGGGTTGATAGGAAGTTGGAAAGAGAGACGGGCTAAATCGCTTGTCAGTTTAAAAGTCTTAGCTGGGCATGGTGGTACATGCCTATAACCTCAGCACTCTAGGAGGCTAAGCCAGGAGGACTGCTAGTTCAAGCCCAGCCTGGCAACTTAGATCCTGTTTCAGGAGAAAAAGGTGCTGAGGATGTTGCTAACTGTCACAGCCCTGGGTTCGACCCCTAGTACCAAAGTGAGAGGCAGTGCTTAGAAGCCCTTTACACCATGAAAATCAAGGAACCCCAAGGGCTTTTACTTATGGGGCTGTATTTCTTAATATCTGTGCAAGCACTCATTCCATCAGCCATTGAAGAGCTGGCGTCATCCACACGATGCAGGCCCTGAACAACAGTATGCTTTTGAGGGACCCTAGGTGAAAAGGCAAGTGACCCTGGGTATTGTGACGAACATAGTGTGACCTCAGTCTCCCAAGTCCCATCTGAGAACGCTGGCCTAGTCCTATAGGGCCTTGTAGGTTATGGGAAGGAGCCCAGTGTTTGTCTAAGGACAAAGGAGACCCTCTGCAGGACTGCAGGGAAGCACAAATAGAAGCAGAGAGGTCCAGGGGCTGTGGTGGCGTGGAGACAGTGGTGGCGTGGACTACTGTAGTAGCAGTGGAGGTGGGAGAGCTAAGATGTGTCAGGAGGAAGAATGGACTGGACTCGCTGGGAGATGAAGTAGGGGCTGAGGCAGGTGAGGAGCCACAAGTGGCTTGCAGTTCTCGAGTAACCGAGTAGATAAAGGTAGCCTTCTCTGAGTAGGGGAAGGAGAGGTGGGCAGGTTTCAAGGATATGCAAGGGCTTCATTTGGGATATGTTAAGTGAGGGCGTGGAGTAGGTTGTTGGGTTTCTAAGTGGCGCTGAGGGAAGTCTGGCCTGAAGCTGTAAAGTGGGAGCTGCTGGCAGAGGAAGATGGACTGAATAAGGTCATTTAGGGAGGAGTTGTGGAGGATTATTACGGTTTAGGTGGAGAATGTCCCCCAAAGGCCCCATGTGCTCACAGGTGGGGCTTTTGGAAGGTGACTGATCCATGGAGCAATATAGCTTACTTGGCGTTAGGAGGTAGGGACTGGTAGAGAAGAGGCAGGTCACCGTGGGCACGACCTGGAAGGGTGTGTGTCCTTCCTGGCTCCTCCCTTTACTCTCTGCTTCCTGGCCACCGTGACATGAACAGTTTTCTTCCACCTTACCCCACAGCCGTGTGTTTTTTGTCCTGAGGCTGACCAACCATGGACTGTGACCACAAGCCAAAATAAACCTTTCTTCCTTTGAGCTGTGGGTGTCAGGTACAGTGTCCCAGCAAGGAGGACATTGACTAAGATAGGACCGAGGAACCAGAGTCCATGGCTGAGGCCTCCTGACACCAAATTCTTTCCCTCTGTTGTAGGGATCAGACCCTGCCTGCTTCATGGTGGGGTGGGTCTTCCCAGGAGTTGGGAGAAGGAGTTCTCTTCAGGCATTGTAGACGTGCCTGTTACTAAGCATGGCTTGTCTTTGAGGAAGCACTCAGAATTTGATTCTGTGGTATGTTCTATCCCTGAAATTCTGATCTCTTCCAGAATCACGTGACCAGTGTTTCAAAAGACTCAAGTTTTGAGTAGTCAGCATAGGAAAACACTGAGAGAAAATAAATGGCAGCTCCAAAAGCCTTTCCTTCCCAGGAGACCAGGAGCATCCAGCACTTAGCCCACTGGGCTGTCTTGCATGGTGGCTGTGGTTTCTGGTCTGTGTCTTTTAAGGTCTATAAGATCAGGGACTTTGTCCTAATCCTGTTCTGCCCCCCAGATTTTAGCACAGTGTTTGCATGAAGGAAGTCTCAGATCTAGACCGGATGGATGATAGAATGCCTTGATGGTTCAGGGTGGAGAATGGGTGCGTGGGTAGATACCGGGTACACGGGTGCACGAACTGATGCATGTGCATGCACAGATGATGTAGGGGTGTAGGAGAGAACGGGTGGAGAGTGGTTGGTTGGGTGGATGGGAGGAGAAGGGTGGACTGGGGAACGCAGGGTGAATAGACACATGCATATGTGAGTCGGGGAAGCAGGATGGACAGGCGCATCCATCATCCCTCAGGCAGAGGTGCGAGATGGATGGATGCAGTGTGGACATGTACATGGGTATGTACATGGGTACTGATGCTAGGCTGGGGATTTAGCTCAGGGGTGCCGCACCTGCCTCGAAAGCTCAAGGTTCTGAGTTCAATCCTTGGTACCAAGGGAAAAAAAAAAAAAAGACTGATGCTGACCACAACATTGCTCAGTAAATGTCACTGGTCTCACTTCTGTGCTTCCACTTTGAGAACCAGGCCTATTCCAGTCATGCGCCAGAGGGTTGGGTTAGTCCAAAGCAGCATGGTGAGTCTTCCCAACTTCAGTTAGGGTACTGGGCTCCCGACAGAGGGCACTGCAGGGGCTTGGAGTGATTCCCAGGTGGATACAGGGAGTGACAGCTGCTCATGTGATCTCTGTACTCTACCAAGAGTCCTGAAGCAGGAGGAGGATGCAAGACACCTCTTGAGTCAGTATCCTAGGTGCAGGCTGGAGCCCTCACCAGCTCTCTGCAGGGAAGGCAAAGATGATAGCAAACAAGAAGTAAAGCGCTGCAGAAACCAGGCATGGTGCCACACACCTGTAATCTCCAGCACCGGGGAGGCTGAGGCAGGATAGAGAATTTGAAGCCAGCCTGGGCTACCCTGTCTCAAAAAACCAAAACAAAACAAAGCACTGTAGGACCCTCCCAGAATTTTCTCAGTAGCTTTTTTCTTCTTTGTATAATAAACCTCAATCATCCCCAACTGCTCAATTTAAAAGAAAAAACAAAAGCAAAAAAATCAAACAACTTTGTCCTACATTTGGAGTGAATAATTTCTTCATATTATGTTATCCTTTTTTCTTTGGGGGGTACGGGGGATTGAACTCGGGACCTTGTGCTTGTGAGGCAGGCGGCAGAACCACTGAGCCAAATCCCCGGTACTATTTATCTTGATTGTGTTTAAAGCTAAGCAGAGAATTTCTCAAGATAAAGTGGTTGTGAAACCATCTCAGGTGCCTTTTTACATGCTGCAGGGGTCCTCTGGTTTCACCTGTTCCTCTACCCATATTTCTCCCCCAATTTAAAAAGAAAAAGGCTTTTTAGGCGCCTACGTCCAATTATACATTGATTAAAACAGCCTGAAAATTTACAGGACTGGGCCTTGACAGATCCAGTAAATGGCTAGATTTTTTTGTCCTCTGTTGTTCCCGAGCTGTGAGGGACCTGGGGAAATGAGTCTTCTCTTGCTTTCTGACTTTGGGTTGTTTATCCTCAGATCCTGCAAGGCCTTGTCGATGTCCGAATCCCTCATAACAATTTCTACCGGAAGTGTAAGTAGCCCTGCTTTCTGCTTGGAACTTGGTACAAGTGAAGCTGTGTGGCTGGCTGGCTTTTCTTTTTGAAACCTCTGCAACTTTGATGTTTTCTGGGCAGCCAGAGAAAGGCTGTGGTGGCCTGGACTTGGCTGTGCCTTCACTCATCCCTCAGGCCCCAGGGCACAACCCCGCACACACTCATTGTGTTTTCCTTTTCTGCAAGTGTTTTTGGAATTGGTCAGTGAGAAGTCCAGATACTGTCTGCATCAGAACATGGACAAGATCAAGGTCCCGACGCTGATCATCTGGGGGAAACAAGACCAGGTATGTCACAGGGCCCCGCAGAAGTGCATGAGAAAAGCAAGTGGTCATTTATAAAGGCAGCCTCCTGGGTGATTTCTGTGGTCAGGAAGAGGTGGCACAGACCTGTACCACGTGCCAGTGTTTATAGGGCCAGAGTCCTGTGAGTTGAAAGCAATGACATTTGACTTTTAACACGAAAGGCAATCTAAATTGGTTTTCATTACTTTTATCAGCTGGGCACAGGGCCATGTATCTGTGGTTCTAGCTACTCAGGAGGCTGCAATGGGGATTCCTTGAGCCTAGGACAGTGGTAGTGAACCAATGGTGCCTGTCCCTCAGCGGGCTGTTTGTATCATTGAAAACTCTAAAAAGTTCGCCATCACTGGCCTAGGAGTTTAAGGCCAGTAAGATCCTGTCTCAAAAAAAAAAAAAAATTAAACCCATATACTCAACCTTCAAAAATTACCAGAAGGTTTACCACAAAAATTTCTGTTTCCTCAAGACAACTTTTATTACCTTACATATATTTCTTAAGCCAGAGATCAGCAAACTTTCTGTAAAGGGGTATACATAGTAGGTATTTTTTGGCTTTGTAGTCCAGGCTGTTAAAACTGCTCAAGTCTGCCCTGTGGTGTAAAAACAGCCTTAGATAACTTGTAAAGAAATGGCATGGCTTTGGCCTAGAGGACTTCTGTGAACAAAACCAGACAGAGGGCGCTGGGAGTGTAGCTTAGGGCTAGAGCACATCCTAGCCTGCCGGAGGCCCTGGGTTCAATCCCTAGCTCTACACATAAAATCAAAAAATGAAAACACAGTGAGCCATTATTGCCTACTCTTCTTCTAACATATATATATATGCACCTATATTTTTTTAGTACCAATGTCATCACTTGTTTTAGTAGTGTTTTATGCTCTTCCACCGCCTCTTGACTCCTTGATCCAGATCCAACCCAATATCTCATATTAAGTATCATTAGTCTCCTTAAATATCTTTAGTCTCCTATAACAGGAAGCAGTTCCTCGGTTTGCCTTTGTCACTCATGATATTGAGGTATTTGGAGAGTGCAGGCCCATTGTTATATAAAATGCCCTCCAATTTGAGTTTGTCCTTCATTCTGACTACCTAGTCAGACTCTTGTCTGTTTCAGCCTGTGGAGTTTCTAATAAGCAGGCTGTGGGCAGATACTTTGGGACAATAGGGACCGGGAATGAAGATGTTACTGTAGACTTCTGCATTAAGTCCAGTCTCCTGTGAGGCACTACAACATGAGCTGATAAGAGTAAAGAAGGAAATGAGGGCCGGGGATTTAGCTCAGTGGTTCCACTGCCTACCTCACAAGGGGAAGGTCCCGAGTTCGATCCAAAAAAAAACAAAAACAAAAACAAAAAGAAGGAAATGAGACTTAGCGAGAACTGAGTCTTGGGCTGATCTAAGCTACTCTGGGGAGCAAAGACAAGGGGTGCCAAGGGTACCCAGTATTTTACTGACTACAAGTTTTTCTCACACAGTGTGGGAAGTAAGAAGGGTATGCTTTGAAGACATTTAGCAACACAGTGTGAAGCATCTGGAAGCATCTGCTGGAAGCATCTGGCGATAGCTGATATGCAAGCAGGGATATAAAGGGGGAAGGCACTGCTTGTCTTGCTTGGAGAGATCAAAGGGTGCTGAGACTGGGTTGCAATTAACCAGTCTGCTAAAACTGGGCAGAGATGTCTGCTACATAGGACCAAGCAGATGTCCAACTCCTCATCAAACCCCCCTAAATTACAATCTTTGACTTTTTTTTTTGAGACAGAGTCTTACTGTGTTCCAGGCTAGCCTTGAACTGGGTAGCCCAGGCTGGCCTTGAACTCGTAGTCTTCATATCTCTACCTCCCAGAGTGGTGGGGATACACACATGCACCATCATGCCCAGTTAACTTCATTCTTCTGAAGAGCTACATAATACTCTATTGTGTGGGAATGTCACACTGTAATTAGCACCCAACTTTGGTCATTTAGAACCCTCCTGGTGTTTTGCTAATAAGCAATGCCTCAGTGAACATCATTATGGATGTGTGTTTGTGGAGTGAGCATGTGCGTATGTCTGAAGGGTAAATTCTAGATGTGGAATTCCCTGGTCAAAGAGCATGATTAAAATTTTAATAGGTCTTGTCAGATGCTGCTGAATTAGTTTGGTAGGACTGCCATAACAGAGTACTGCCACCTGGGTGGCTTAAACAAGAAAAATGTATTTCTCGTGGTTCTAGAGGCTGGAAGTCTAAAATCAAGGTGTCAGCAGGGTTGGTGGTTCTGAGGGCTGGGAGGGCAAATCTTCTCCACCTTGGCTTCTGGTGCTTGCTCTCTGACCACTGCCTTCATTCCACATGGGGTTCTCTCTGTTCATATCTGTCTCTCTGTCCAGATTTCCCATTTTTACAAGCACCAATCACATTTTAGGACCCATCCTGGTCCAGTATGCCTTTATCTTAGCTGGTTACATCTGCAGTGTCCCTGTTTCCAAATAAAGTCACTTCTGAGGTACCAGGGGTGAGAGTTTCAACCTATGGATTTGTAACAGTTCAACCCATAAGAGTTCCTCCAGAGAAATACTGTTTTTACATTCCACAAGCTCCTTTTCTTTTCCTTTTTCTTTTTTTTTTGGTACTGGGGATCGAACTCGGGACCTTGAGCTTGCAAGGCAGGCGGTGCACCCACTGAGCTAAATCCCCAGTCCCTTCCTTTTCTGTTTGTAATGGCTTTTTAGAAATAACACCCTACTGAAAGATCTTCCTGAAGTTTAAAGCAAAAGGAGGCAATGATAAAGACCCATTGTGCAGATACAACCACAGTATATCTGCTAAAAGCTATGCAGGAGTCCTGTGCTATTGAATATTGTGAGAAAAAGATATTAGAAAGAAGCTTTTTTCTGTCTTGGTTTGTTTTCTGTTGCTACAACAAAATGCCTGGGGCTTGGTAATGTATAAAGACCAGAACTTTATTTGGCTCACACTTTTAGAGGCTGGAAAAGCAAAGAGAATGACAGCATCTGCTTAGCATCTGGTGAGGGCCTCGTTACTACTTCGTAATGCCTGGAGGGTATCATATGGCAGCCCAGAGCAAGGTGCCAGGCAGAGCTCACCTTACAAAGCCACTCCCAGGGTAGCGCACCTACTCCTATGATAGTGACATCAGTCATGAGGACAGAGCTGTCATTAATCTGCTAATCCATTCTCAAAGGCAGGGATGTAATGTTTCCAATACATGAACCTTTGGAGGATACATTCATACCACGCTAGACCCCAGTGTGAAAGCCATCCTAGCGAACCTCTCAAATTGATGAAAGTAAAGGCAGGAAGTGATTCAGGCTGTGGTCACAGATGGCCTGGGCTGGAGAGACTGGGAGGAGAAGCCAACCATGAGGTCACCACGTGTGTGGGGAAGGAGGGGAATGTTGTCTCAGGTCAGCTAACCATAGCACAACACAGGAATGGGGACTAGGAGAGGAGGGGTCGCACGTGTCCCTTCTCCAACAGCCAAGTGACTGAAAGAGGCTGTGTGTGCCTGAGTCAGAGAAGCAGGATCCAGACTGCCAGCAAGGAGTCACTTGATCGGAAATGAGAACCAGAACACTGAAGGCCTTTCTTCATTGTAAAGGTGATCTGGGACTCTCAGGGACCAACAGGGAGAGGCCATCATCACAGTTCTATGGAAACAGTGCAGAAGCAGGAGCATTGGCCTTGGAGTCAGGAAGTCTGCATTGAAGCCCTGCCTTGACCCTTTAGTAGCTGTGACCCAGAGCAAGTCGCCAGGCCCCTACAGTACCCCACTATTATCCAGGGTAATAATGAGGTTCAAATATGTATGTGAAAGTGATCATTCTCCAGTTATCACAAATGTTCCAAAACCTCAGTTGCCCGTGAACTAGCACAAACAATCAACAAGTAGGATCTCTTCTTTTTTTTTTCTTTTTTTTTTTTGGCACTGGGGATCGAACTTGGGACCTTGCACTTGCAAGGCAGGTGGCGGAACCACTGCGCTAAGTCCCCAGCCCTGAGATCTCTTCCTATTAAAAAGCTTCTGCCAGGTCGGGGATTTAGGTCGGTGGTTCCACCACCTGCCTTGCAAACGCAAGGACCCAAGTTTGATCCCCGGTACCTAAGCAAATAAATAAATAAATAAAAAGCTTCTGCACAGCAAGAGAAACCACCAACATTGTGAGGAGACAACCCTCACCTGCTGTTCCTCAGACAAAGGTCTACTATCTTGAATCTATAAAGAATTTTTAAAAAATCAGACCTCCCAAATTTAAAGACCCAATCCAAAAATGAGCATCTGAAATGAACAGACATTTCTCAGACAAAGAAGTAGAAATAGCAAATAAACATGAAAAAATGTTAACATCACTGGTCATTTGAGAGATGCAAATGAAAACAACATTGAGATTCCACCTCACTCCAGAAAAAATGGCTGATATCATGAAATCAACCAATAACAAATGCTGTCGGGGCTGTGGGGAAAGAGGAACCCTGCTCACTGCTGGTGGGAATGTAGACTGGTGCAACCACTGTGGAAATCAGTATGGAGACACCTCAAAGAACTAGGACTGGAAGTCCCATTTGACCCAGCTATTCCCCTGCTGGGGATCTTCCCCAGAGAATTAAAAGAACCATACCGCAGCGATATATGAACACCCATGTTTATAGCAGCACAATTTGTGATAGCTAAAACTTGGAAGCAGCCCAAATGCCCATCAACTAGAGACTGGATGAAGAAAATGTGTTTTTTTATATGTAAAATGGAGCACTACTCAGCCATAAAAAAATGAGAAATTAGAAACATTTATAGCTAAATGGATGCACATTGAAGCAATACTCAAGTAAAATAAATAGGACACACATGTGTAAATACCGAATAGTTTCTCTAGTGTGAGAAACTGAAAGTGTAAATAAGGACTAAAAGGTATAATAGATAATGTGAAATAGGAAGAAAAGGGGCAAAGGGGGAGAGGAGGGGGAAAAGGAGGAAGGGAATGGAATTAATATGAGAAAATGGAAACAAAGTCTTTGTAAATAGGCAGGGATGGAGGGATTGAAGGGAGGGCAGGGGAAGGGGGAAAAAATAAGAAAGACTATGTAAAGGTGCAAGTTTCTAGTGATGAATGTCATTATATTGTATACCTAAAATGTACCAATAAAATTAAAACAAACAAATGTTCCATTCCACATGCCTTCTGCCTCTGATAGCTTGGCCTCAGTCCCATGTCCAGGATTTCTTCCTACACTCTGAAGTCTGTTTTGCTCCAAGGAAAGAGCCTGATTCTGTGGGCCTGCTACAAAAATGATCAGCTCCTTTATGTTTTGGTCACCATGCCTGGGCAGAGGCCCAATAGCAGAGGCTTCAGTGGTCCTATATTTCATGGCCTTTTGCTTCCCAAGCTCTCTGGTTCTTTTCCTGCTACCCTGTTGGCTCTCCCAGAACTCTTGAATGATGTCTTCTCCTTCCACGCCCTTCCCCTGTACTCTCACACCCAGGATCCTCCCTCGGCAGAGTCCCTGACACATCACGGTACATTGGTCTTTGGACCTGTCTACTCTCCACCAGACCATAACTTCCCTACAGTCAGGGACTGTGTACTGTCTTTTCCATCTCAGCATTGCTGGCAGCAGTGTCATTCCTAGTACTAAGTTACAGGATGTAACAAAAGCCATGCTGGACGGTCCCAGCAGAGAGTCTCAAGTCCCAACAGCAAAGTGGCTGGGTTCCTAAATCCACCCCAGCTGTCTGACACCTGCCAGCCCTTGGTGGAAATTCCACCCAGAGTACAGTGGGGTCTCCAAACCTTTGTGTGCTGTCTCATTCCCTCTCTGTCCTGGCAGGTGCTTGATGTTTCTGGGGCAGACATATTGGCCAAGTCAATCAACAACTGCCAGGTGGAACTTCTGGAAAACTGTGGGCACTCAGTGGTGATGGAGAGACCCAGGAAGACGGCCAAGCTCATCGTTGACTTTTTAGCTTCTGTGCACCACACAGACGACAACAAGAAACTGGACTGAAGGGCGAACAGCATCTGCTCCTGTCCCCAAAACCTGACGCGGCCGTCAACCACTCAGGGATCCTGCCCCAGATGCAGCGGTGTGCCAGCGTCCCTGAGAAGCCCAGTCCCCTATTCCCATTGTCCTTGGTTCCACAGAGCTTCAGAGTCCCCAGAAAATCTCCAAGATCTTTTTCTCAAAATGGAAACTCACATGGAACAAAATGAGAAAACCCAGCCCTGAAATCTCCTGAGAAATCGTCAAGTTTATGTCGCTGACAAGTTTGTGCTAAGTAGCCACCCTGAACCGTGATCACCAAGGACATTTTCTTTGTGACATTCCCTGCACACTGAGATGTGAGACATTTTGTTGCTTCAGGCGTCTTCCCGTGCATGGCCAGTGGCTTCTGTGGGAGCATAGTGCTCATTCGCTGCACCCCCCTTGCTTAGTGCTAGTAAGTTTTGCCCAGAAGCCCATATGTGAATGCAGTCTGTCAGCCACAGGATCAAGGAGGAAGGTGGCAAGTTGTGCGAGGCGTCCTACCCTTCCCGCTGGTAGGGACATGTACACAGGTACACTGCTCTCAGGCAGCAGGATGCTCAGGTGGGTGCCTTGGCACTCAGAGTCGAGTCAGCTGTGCTGTGAGTGAACCTAGAGGCGGAGTGGGGAGCAATGGACAGGGCGGGTTTCCTAGGAATCCCTTCTTATGTTTTCAAATAGGACCAGTGAAGCAATAATGTTCTAGACAGCTATGTACATAATCAGATTTGAGTCCACACTCAAGCGGCTCATGGGCCTCTTTTCTATTTTGCTGTGCTCCTGAAAACCCTTGGATGTAACATACTAGTTTGTTGATGAATTCTGTGAATTCTGTGAATAGTAATGTGATTGAAAATAAGTCTGAACATCTGTAAAAGTGACCACAATGATGTGAAATAAGTTTTAAGAAGTCTAGATCAGCAACTTTTAAATGGTTCCTATTTCGGAGCTCCTAATTAAGTGCAATGTTGGTAGACTTTCTGTTAACTTTAAAATGTGTTTTTAAAAATAAGGCTTTAGGGCTGGGGATGTAACTCGATGGCAGAGCACCCACCTAGCATGTGCAAGGCCCTGGGTTCAGTTGTCAGCTTTGAAAAATTAAAACTAAGATGCGTTCCACGGGTTTTGGAAGCTTTTGGTTAGATGCTTGATTAGTTTCATTTTAGTAAATCATGTTTGCAGCTGGGTGTGGTAGCTCACACCTATAATCCCAGCACTCTGGGTGGCTGGGGCAAGAGAATCACAAGTTCTCAAAAAAAAAAACACACAAAAAAGATTGAGAATGCAGCTCAGTGGCTGAGGTTCAAACCCCAGTATCCTCCCCCCAAAAAGGAAGTTGTGTCTGCAGCTTTTATTCAATTGAAATATATCAAATGCAGAAGTCATCAAAGTACTGTATTCCCTTCGACTCTTGCATTTAGAAGCCTTAAACTTCCCAGGACCTTAATTCTTTCAAATCTTTTTACAGCCTGTAGCCAAGTAGTTCTGCAAATAAAGAAAGATCAACTTTATAGTTTAAGTGGAAATCCAAAAAGTGGGTTGAATATTTTAATTTATACGAAAAAAATGTAAGTTTTTTTTTTTTTCATACTGGGGATCAAACTTGGGACCTTGCACTTGCAAGGCAGGCAGGGACCCCAAGGAACAGATTTTTAAGAACAAGAAGATATGAAAATGTGACATCAAACTTGTGAGAGGCACCTAAAGCAGTGATATATATATATACACACACACACACACATATATACATATATACCAATGTATATATGTGTGTGTGTATATATATATATATTCTGAAAAGCAATAAATTAAGCTTCTATCTTAAGAAGCTAGAAGACAAATAGTAAAGCCAGACAAAAATGGAACAGATGAAAACAAAAATCAACAGAATAGAAAATAAAGTAGTAGATGTTTTACTTGTAATCTCCTATATTCACCAGCAATTTGAACTTCATGGGAGAGGGAGTCCGTTGTTCATAGTGGGTGTGTGTGGGGGGAGATGGCTTCCTTGGGCTCACTGGAAAAGCCCCAGATCTGGGCTTAATCTCTCAGATCACCAGCCCTTCTGAGTGCAGGAATTCTTATGCTCAGTTACTCATGGTGGAGTCATAAAGGCAGGGGCATGTGCTGCCCAGCACAGCCCGGAAGGACAGTGGGCAGGTTCTGCACGTGATATGGCTCGTACCCCTTCCATTGTCACAGAAAACCTTGATGTAAGTAATAAGCAGAGAATATGAGAGTTGTTTCTGGCAAACCCAGGTAGGTCTTCAAGGTTCTCCCATGCCCCTGAAAGTCCAGCCCCACCATACTGAGGAGACCCTTACACCCATTTCTTGCCTTCGTGACTATAACTAGCCTACTGGTTACTGCTAGTTAGCTGGTCCCGTATAAGACCCTGTTGTGTGTGCCTCTGATGACAGTCCTGGAAAAAAGAAAGGGATCATTTATCACAACCCGGAAAAAGTGCCAGAAACTTCTGAAATAACAATGCAAAACACCAAGAAGCACAGCTGGGCTCTTACTACTACTGCTTGGAGTTGGGAGCTTCTTGGCTGTTGCAGATGAACCCTCCTGGGCAGGGGTTGAAGGAGCCAAGGGAAGGATAGACAGTGGTAGGCATTCAGTTTGCCACTAGCCCGAGCTGCTTGTCCAGAATGGCGTGACACCAGGGGTGACTAATGGAACATGCACCAATTTGATAGCACAGCACTGCCTGTCTGTCTCTCCCATTTGAGCTCTGGTGATGGTTTTGCATCCTAGGAAAACATACCTGTTGCTTTGCCTAGAGGAAGTTCCCAGAAAATACTGTTGATTGGAGTGTCTGTCAGGCTGGGAGAGAGGACTACATCTTAGAACTTTGTCTGTCTGCCTCTCCCGGGTGCACATGGACACACCTCCTTACACAGCTGGAAGCCTGGCTCTTGGGAGCCATCAACCTTCCTCTTCCAGTGTTGCCCCTTTTAACTACAGACTGGACTTTCTCAGCCATTGGGAGTTGTTTTGGGGGATAAGAATAGTCCTAGATGGGACAGCAGAGATGTCTTCAAAGTACCTGTCAAGATCCACACCACAGAGTAGCAGTGCTGGGGATGCGGTCTGACACGGCTCTGTGGCTCAGTGTCACTGTTCGCTGGGCTGGTGACAACCAGGAGAGGCCCTGGGGTTTCCTGTGCCCACAGTGGGAACAAGCGTCTTGAGTGACTGTTGCTGGCCTAATCTAGGACAGGGAGAGGACATCTGGCTCGTTGGCTCTCCTTGCAGCAAGATGGTGGCCCCTTTCCCTTGTCTCCTGGAGGAACCTTCCCTTCCCTTTAGGGTTTCTGATGACGTTTGGTTCTAAATCCTCAAGGCAGTGAGTTTAGGCCATACTTTGGAGGCAGGAGCTCCAGTGGGGATGAGGGAGTGCAGGATTCTGACAATTCCAGTGACCCAAGGGCAAGGCTGACTGTGGAGCAGATGATGGTCACTGGAGGACAAAGCCTAGAAAGGTCACTGTGGAGTCAGTGATACAACCCCTCACCAAGACCCTCAGGGACAGATGTAATTCAAATTCAGAAGGACTCTTATTCAGAAAGGGATCATGGTGTTTACGTCCCTGGAACTCACTATATAGCCCAGGCTGGCCTCAAACTCGTGGCAGTCCTCCCACCTCGGGCTCCTGAGTGCTGGGATTACAGGTGTGCACCAGCATGCCTGGCAGCATCCATATTTCTAATGGGCAGCATAAGCATGTCTACAGTAAATGGGCAAGAGCTGACTAAGCACTGGTGCCAGGTAAAGAGATCCGATTTCTGGGTTTTTCCTAGTCCCCCACTACCACCTTCACTGCAGCTAAGACAGGAGGCTAAAAAAGATAGGAGGCTGCATTCCAGGCTTTAGTTCTGCTTGGGTATGGACAGGGCTCGGAGAGTTTTTTCTTCTAAGGAGGAAGAATGAGAGGGGCCAGCAGGCGGGTGTACGCCATAGCTCCCCCGTGTGCCCATCAGGAGCTGGTCCTAATATTGTTACAAACAGCTGAGTTAGGTAGAAATATAGGCGGTCCAGGCTAAGTCCTCGAGAGACTCAGGACAGCGGTGAAACACACAACTGTGGCTGGAGACACATCTGTTAGAGGCCAGGCCTCAAGACAAAGACAAGATGACAAGACCTGTAAGCTTCCTCAAAGGACAAACACTGGGCTTAATGAATAATGAAGCCTAGATAGACATCAGCCACCCGGTTGGGTGACCAGAGACCTCTGGACCCACCACTTCCTTGGAGAATCTTTGTTCTTTCCATCCAGGCTTGTTAGTGTCTTGTTTCCCAACTGGACCACCATTACCTAAGTGGCTCTACTTGTAACCTTATTGGTTGATCATGGCTGTGGCCCACGTCCCATGTTGGTTTCACTCTATAAAACTCTGTAAAGTGGGGTCCCCGGCTACCCACTCGGGTCCCCTTCTGCCTCTCAGGAGCTATCCTATCAATAAATATCTTCCTGCTCTTTGACTTCCATTGTTCTAGAATTCATTATTCCATTTTTACTATATGTGGTGCTGAAGGGAGCACATTCTTCCATTTGTAAAGAACGAGAGCTGGGCATATCAGACAGCTAACAGGTTGGGAGATAGAATATTTCGTGTTTCATCTTCAGTATTATTTCCTGTATCAGTGTTTTACTCAATAATTATTAGTGCTACAAAAATGATGCTGTCATTTTAAAACTCATACAGAAAAGGGGGTTCTATACTCTCTGCACAGTGATGCTCCCCATCACCAGCCCCCTGGGATGTGGGGGACCGGCCCACAGACACGCATACCTGTAAACAGGGAGGACCTGCAGGTGGCGGCAGTGGGGTTTTTCCTTGAATACAAATAGAGTCCCGCTGCTGCTCCTCCCCAACCTTCACTTGCCTCCATACCTTCAGGCTCCTTTAGGTCCAACCTAGAGATCCCCAGATCCCTATAACTGGCACGCACAATCCAGAGGAAGTGTAGAGACCCCTCTGAACCCCTGGGAGAGGCAGTCCACAGCACCACTGAGCTACATCCTGGCCCTCTGAATTTTAAGAAAGGATCGATCTAAAGTCCCTCCAGGACTAATCTGGGTGATGATCTTCTCCCCACATCCTCCCTTCCTGGGGTCATGGAGGTTTTTCTTAGGGGACAGATTTCTAAGATAGTTCCAAGCAAAGTCTTCTCCATCATGTAACTGCATTTCAGAAGGGCTCCGGCCTCACGCAGCAGGGGAGTGGCTCCGGACTTGCTAAGGCAGGAATTAGGCAGTCCGGCTGCTCCTCTGACTTGCACCTGACTGGCCAGACCTGCGTCCTTTGGGACTGGTGAGCTGGCCCCGGAGTCCCTGCCTGCAGGGTGCTGCTCATGGACTTCCGGGTCCTTTTCTGACTGGGGCCCTCTGCCACCTTACGCATGCGTCGGCTGAAGGTAGCTCAGGAACAGAACGCCTGGAGCCCGAGCCCGAGTGGTTTGCCTCGTCCCTCCCACCTCCTAGGGTTGCCAGGAAATACGGGGCGGGGCAGCCAGGACACTTTTCATTTCAGATGGCGCCTCAGAGGCCCCACTGGCACTCTGGGGTTACCCAGGGCTCAGGCTGCAGGTGACCTCACTTTTGCTGCGCCTCCTTCCCTGCCACATCCTGCTCCCCTCCGAGCTTCCACATGAGCTGCCCTCCAATCACAGGTGAGTGATTTTCAGTACTTGCTTGGAGATGGTGCTCAGGGTGGCCTCAAAGGAGCGCCCCCAGCCTGGTCACCACCTTAAACAGCCTCTGGCTTCATGGTCTCGTCTCTGAGAGGTAGTAATGACAGTGACACTGCGGTCAGCGGGCTGATGTGGGCATGCAGTACGGCACTTGCAGGTCTCCCGAAATGGAAGCAATGACTGCAGTTCCACAGTGTTCTGCTCCTGGTCATTTCATGTCTTGTCCTGTCTTCACAATGGAGGCACAATTCCCATTGGACAGATGGACAACTGTGGGAATCCCACTTGGGTCCCTCCCTTGCCTTTTCTTCTGCAAGTTGAGAAAGCACCTCAATGTCAGCAAAATCCATTTGGCAACAGTTAGCAACCACACAGCAGAGGGGGAAGAGGTGTGGACTTAACTCCTTGGCTGCCATATTTTCCAGGAACATAAACTAATCCAGATCTACTCCAACAAATTTACTTTGAATAAGAGAGAGAGAGGGCTCCAGAATGCCCCTCAAAAGCCAACTGATTCCACCTAATGCAATTCAGGGCAACTCTGTGTTTTTGTTTGTTTGATTGTTTGATTTTTGAGACAGGGTCTCACTATGTAGTTCAGGCTGGCCTTGAACTCACTATGTAGCCCAGGCTGACCTCAAACTTGTAGTGATTCTCCTGCCTGAACTTCCCAAGTGCTGGGATTACAGGCATGTGCCACCATGCATGGCTGCTTTGTGTGTTTTGATACGCAGTGATACTAAGCTGCATTGTAAAGAAGGAAAAGCCCCCATATCATACCTCTGAGAAGATATTTAAGAAACTCAAACAAGAAATTGCCTCTGGACAGGAGATTGGCTGCAGTAGGGGTGGGGGGAAAAGCTCATTTCATTGCTTTTCCTTTTATATCATTTGAAATGATATGCCACTGGCTTATAATTCCCATTCCAAAAATCAAAATTAAAGCCAAAAATCATGGTGCATATCTGTAATCTCAGCACTCTGGGAGGCTGAGGTAAGAGGATAACAAACTCAGTCCCATCCTAGGCAGTTCAGTGACTTAGCAAGACCTTGTCTCAAAATTAAATAATAAATAACTAGGCTGGGGATGCCGCTCAGTTTGAAAGTCTTGGATTCAATCCCCAGTACTAAGTAAATAAGTAAATAATGTAGTTGAAAAGTAAAAGCTAACTTGTCTTTAATATTCCAAGGTATCTCTTGTCCCCAACTGGGTTAAACAGAATCCGCTGAGAGAATTCAGGCAGCTAGGAAGGTACGTTCTTTTCACGGTTTGTCACAGGAGTAAAAATTTACGAAGGTGGGGCTGGGGATTTAGCTCAGTGGTGCTGCCGCCTGCCTCGAAAGTGCAGGGACCCAAGCTCCATCCCCAGTACCAAAAAAAAAAATTTACCAAGGTTGCTTGAAACCCAAAATGTGTAAGTTGTTCTGGGCCAGGGGATGGCAGGATGACTCTGCCATGAGGCACAGAGCGACTCTCCCTCTACGGAGCTTCCGAGGTGCCAGGCACTTCACACCTTCCACTGTTCCTCCTCACAGCTCTATGAGGTAGAGGCTAGATCTCTTCATGGTCAGAGGCCAGACACGTGGCAAAGGGTGGATTCAAGTGAGTTATGGTAGCTTCCAAAATCCAAGCTTTGTGGAAAAGGAAATGCCAATGTCTAGGGTCTAGGTTGATCCCCCCACCCCTCTCCCCCATTTGGAACAAGTCTTATCATCTGAGGGGATGAGGAAGGGAAGCAGAAACCACAGGACTGGAAACCATGGCTAAGGGCAAGGGCTGAAGACTCAGCAGGCAGTGAGATTTTGAGAAGGTCTATGCTCACCTCCCCCACCGCAAGCGGAAGCAGCACATATATTTGTGAACAATGCATTCAGAAATATGTAGGTGTCAGGGACTGTAACGCAGGAGAAGCCATCACAAACAAAACTCTGTCCTCATGTGACTTACATAGTTCCTTTTCTATGCACCGTGTAGCCCAGAATGACCTCAAACTCGCAGCGATCCTCCTACCTCCACCTCCCCAGTGCTGGGTTACCAGGCCCGTCTTAGTGGTTACATGTTGCAGTGTGGAGAGTACCAGCTAGAATCAGCCTGTTCCACCACTTTCAGCTGTGTGATTTTAGGCAAATAACCTCTGTCTGTGCCTCGGTCCCACTTCTGTGAAATGGACATAATTATAATAGTAGCTACCTTAGGATTGCAAGGGTTCTGTGACATAGCACATGTAAAGCCTTTTGTCCAGTGTCTGGCCCAAAGGAACCACTTGATAAGTATTAGCTGTCATTATTATTGTTATTACACATATTTCGTGAGTACAGGGGCCATGTCTTATTCTCCAGAGTTCCCAGGACCAGAATAGGGCCTAGCACATAGTAGGCGCTCAACAAGTATTCAGTGAATAAATGCATAGGTGAAACTTGGCTTACATTTGGCAGTGGGACTAACTGGATCTTTCCATGTCAACTCAGAAAGCCTAGTACTCGGGGAGCCAGGACCGTTGACAGTGAGTCCTGTGCTTGACACGCAAGATGCGCAGTACAGGTGCTAGGGTTGGGCTGTAGCTCAGTGGCAGAGCGCTTACCTAGCATGCGCGAGGCCCTGGCTTCCATGGTAAGCACTGAGGAAGAAAAAACAGGAGACACTAGATACAAATTTGTTAAAGAATGAATACACGAGGGAATAAATTTCTATGAGGGCTCCCTGCTTACACGTGTGCCTTACACGCTTTCCTCCCGAGAGGGCAGCAGGGGGCGCTGCGCCCCAAGCCGCTGCTCTGGCTTCGGTTAGATTCTGGGTTCCTTAGGGGAACGCCGAGCTCCAACGTCACATCCGTCAGCACTTCCCGCATCCGGGGGCGGGCCAGAACGAAGCCAAATGTAAATGTACGAGGAGTATCCCGGACTCAAGCTCTGGATGGGCGTGCCAGACCTTGGCGAATTCGTTCAGCGAACGGGACTCGGGCAATGCGCTAGGCTACTCTGTTGGAAGGCGGGTAGGCGGAAGCCCCTGGGCCAACAGCCGGTTCCGGGAGCGGTCTTGGTCACTAGCGTGCGCTGGCTGCGCGTGCGCTGGCTGCGCGTGCGCTGGCTGCGCGTGCGCTGGCTGCGCGTGCGCTGGCTGCGCGTGCGCTGG